ACACACAGGCAGTTTCCTGCATGCACATCCTCATGGATCTCCAAATAAAGCTAATGATGGGAGGGTTCGTGCTGAGTGCAAACTAATGCTACTGCAGGATTAGGATCTGAAACAAAACCAAGTTCTTAAAAAGCTGCCAGGAAACCGTCGCGGAGAAATGTGAACTGGGAGTAAAAAAAAAGAAAAGTGTGTGATTTTGGAGGTGATATAAAAGTAAACGCTGTTACAACAGAGCGAATGTTTCTGCTCCCATAAGGCCGGTGTTGCGGCTTGTAGTTTGGGTTCGTTGGTGAACGGGTAAAATGTGGGCGTGTTGAGAGAGCCGGCGGCGCTTCCGAGGTCCGTTACACCCTTTTTTATGTGTCTGCTTGTGAAAGGATGTTATTGCATACGCTGGGTTTGAAATTGGGTACCACAGTAGATATTTTCATTCGTTTCATTGGCTGTAAGGTGCATAACATGAATGCAACGCTTCGCTTATTGTTCCACAAGACTTTTTGCCGATGTTTTGGCCCGTTTGGCCTTCTGATCAGAACTGCTCTGGGTCAGGTTTGTGCCTTTCAGAAGTGAAATAGGGACATTTTACATACACTCATTGTGCTTGGGGTCATACATGTTATGTGTAAAAATCATGTCCGGCCACCAAATAATCTTAAAGGGGCAGTGTTCATTTTTTTCCAGCCACATTGTGCCGTTTTATTGCACAATCAAGTAACTATGTTAGCTTAAGTTGTTATAAAATGCTATGTATTTCGAACATTACTTTAAATTTGACTTTCTGATTTAATGACCTAAAATTGGGCATCTGTCTCTTTAAGAAGCTCCTGCTCTTTCTGAAACTCAACCTTCAGGAAGTCATCGCAACATGGCTCCTCTATTAACCCTTGAACAATGTTCCACCAGCTGTTTGCTGACTTGATTGATTGATTGATTGATTGATTGATTGATTGATTGATCTCTCTTGAGTGTCCTTTTAGCCCATAGTGATAAAGGACTCCTGGCACTCTTGATACTCACACTGCCTCACCTTTAGCAGTGACGCAGAAAGTGGGTATATGTGATGATAGGTGTTGTGCTTGACATAAAAATGATTTCAAATGAGAATTTTCTGTATTTAACAGCTGTCTGTGTGTGCATAAATTATGGGATTAATAATGGAGAGATGACTATAATGTCTCTGCACACATCAGAAAGTACCCATGACCTTTAGCAAACATCTTCATGGTATTTCTTGCTTTTGTGGTGGAGTTGATTGATACATTTTGTGGCCACGTTTGTGTCTGTGTGTCTCATACCTGTCTCCTTCCTGATGGGTGACATCATTCTTATGGTGTTTATGCTGGCTTATAATGGATTAAACAGACGAGGATAGCACGTCAGGCATCTGGAGATTGTATCCAAGTATGGACTAGACCACAGTCCAGTCCGTACTTCCCATCGGTGTTCGTCAAAGTGTCTCTTTCTGTGTGGTTTAGGTTTACCATGTTCTCTAATATCACTTCATTAAGCTCTGTGTCAACAGAAAACCATCTACGAAATACCCTGGAACATGCTAACATACTAGCTAGCAGATTTAGCTTCTGAGCAGAACAGAAAATTTACACATGAGACTGACAGCAAAGAACATCAGGGGCCTCATGCATAACTGAGTGCTTAGTTTTCACACTAAAACTCGGCAAAGGATTAGCCTAACCCTGTCCTCACAAAAATAAAAATACATTTTAAAAAGATAGATTTTTGTCATAAGCCAAGATGGAATAAAAAACATTTGTAGCTTTAGAAATCTTATGGTTCAGATGAAAAATAATGTTACAATATCAAACGAGCAGTCCAGCTATCTATCACAGGAACTTAGAAAAGTAGCTCTGTTGGTAGGTTTTGTTATATTTGATAAAACTATTTGAATTAATCAAACTGTTCAGATTAGATTTGGTTTTTATGCTCATTTGTAATTGATCAAATTACTAGATTAAGCCCAGTTTTCAGTTTGCTGAGTTTGTAAACCTTTTCTCTAATACAACGCAGAAAAACAACTTTTCATTTATAAGAAAGGAGCTAACAAGACATTTCAGGGAGTTTCTCTTAGCTTGTAAGTTTCACTGCTGGCCTCCGTTAGCAGGACTGTGTTTACTGTAAGTCTGTTTTTCATTTAGCTTCTCTCTCTCTCCCTGTCCAAATATTCTTCTGTTTATCTAACAAACTCTTCTGTCCTTTCACACTGCTTTCCCACAACCCCTCTCTCTGACCCCAGTTGCTCTCTCTGTCTTGTGTTTGTCTCATTCCTCTCTTTTTTTTCCCCCCTCATTTTTATTAACTAATTTTTCAAATCTGTAACTTTTTCCCCCTCCAAACATTTCAAATCCATCGTTCTTTCTCTCTTTCTTTCTGTGTTTCTGTTCTCCCTCCTTCCTGTGTGTCCTCTCAGATGAAACAGAGGGTGTCACCATTGGGAGCAAGCTTTGGGAGCCAGGGGTCAGTCACTTTGACCCCTGACCCCTAATCTTAAATTGAGCCCTCATCACCTCATCTGTGAGCGAACACACATTTCTCATTTGGACCAATAAAAGTAACATTTTCCCTTCACTTTCATCTAACATGAATATTCACAGTGCAGAAAATAATAAGCTAAACGAAATGAAATGCATCTCTAAGTATAGGTTGAGGAGATGGATCAGATTCTTAAAATAGCTTCCCATTGATTATATACAGTCAGTTTCTTACCTATTGACTTTATACAAGTTTCTACATTAGAGGCACAGACTAGAACAGTGACTATCCTATATGACGCAAAATAGAATATGTGAAACGTATTGTCCTGGATTATTTTTTCTGAATTACTGGAAGCATTGCTGGAAATATATGAAATGTGTCTTCAAGAACCGGCGCTAAAGCTACCACACAGTTGGTACAAGTGTCGTTTAGATGTAACCTGCACAGTTTTAAGAGCTTTTAATGATTAAAGCCACTTTAACATTCTCTTTAATTATTTTTTTATATATTAAAGAGATAGAAGTTGAAGTTCAAAAAGTCAGCTAAACTTCAACTAGCATACTGTGTCACAGGCTTTGCTAGCCCTTACTTAACGACTTTTCGAACAACAAAAGTTATTAATTTAATTGTGTATTTCTTTGGTTTTTTTATTATTAAAAACCCTAACCCCGGCCTGTTTTTGCTCATAAGGTAAATAAATCTAACCCAAAAGCTATAGCAAAAACGTCAGAAGCAAATTAAGGCAGAAACGTGACCACAAATTTTTGCCGTCATTTAGCAAAATTTAAAAGAAAATAAAAAAGAGATTTATTTTTACGTTCAACTGACGATGACTATAAAAGGCAGAGACCGTCTGCAGACTTTCGGATCCAGGCTCGTGTCGTGGCTGCACTGCTGAGCGTTAACCTCCACAATCTAATTTCCTCTTGTTTCTTATCTTTGCTCCTCATCCTCTCGTATCACAGAGAACGCGGGGCCTGAATGTCCGTGTTTGTTTCTGTTCATGGTTCTGTGTCTGTTTCCTTGAGACGATATTAAGTCCCTCCAGTTGTGTGTTGCTATGCTCACAGTGCGTCCCTGTGGCATCAGGCAGGAAATAATCAACCCAGCGCAGGCAGCTCACAGCAGCAGCAACAAGGGCATTTGGGATGATTCGGCTCAGGTTCATGCCAATGCTACAACATGAGAATGGCACCATTAAACCCACTGAAATTCAAAAACAATTAGAGTTTTCTTTGCTGTTTTGGTTGTTTGTGAGTGACGAGGTGAAAGTAGAGCTTGATGATGAATCTCTAGATAGTGTAGCTCTTATGATGACTCTGATGAAACGCCCCCGCCGCCCCTGGCTTCTCAGCTCGCCGGCTGGAATGTTCCTCTTGTTTCTATAACACACATCTTACAGTAAACACAGCTGACAAGAAGATTTCCTGAGAGACTCGGGTCCGGCTAAAAACACCAAGAATCAAACCCTGTCCTGCTTAATTGTTGAACTTTACTGTGATTTTAGCATAGTAAAAGTAGCATGTATTTATTATAAAAGTCTGCCTGAAGTATGTTAAGATTTTAAAGATGTGCAACTACAAACTCACTAAATCATGTTATCATACTGTTCACTGCGAAGTCCTTTTACAAGGCGAAAGTGCTTGAATGAACTGTTTTCTTACACTTTATTGGGCTTAAAATAAACTAGCACCAAAAAAAAATCCAAACGTATTGATTTGTCAAACCTGACTGTATAAGCATAAATGTGCATGTGCTAAAGTAAAAAAATAAAAAAATGTTTTTTTTGGGACCCAACTGTATCAAGTATAACTTCACCCAATGAAACGTTAGCTTCTTCCGTGAAGCTAATGTAGCTAAGGAATTAGCTTCCTGCCAAAACTGTCCAGGAAGTGATGTACGATAGAGTCAGCACTTGTCTAGAAACTTTAATGTGACTCATTTGAACTTTGTGTTTAAAAAAAGACAAACAAAAAAACACCCGTAATTCAATTAAACTCTTTTTTTAAAAACTAACTTTTCAGCTCTCCCGACATTAGCTTATCCAGTGTCTTTAGCACCCCAGGGTCTGTGCGGTGTACACTAACCAGGTGCATCTAACAAAGCGACAGCATGGCTGAGTTTGAGTTTGTGTTGGAGGTTGCTGGGCATCAGGCCTCTGTCGGGATGTTTGGACTGTGAAGAAGAATCGGGTCGGATCTGGTTTTAAACATCAGTGGAACTCGAAACATTCACTTGCATTTGTTTTGTTTTTGTTTTTTTAAATAATTTTGAACTTTGCTGCCTGAAAAGTGAACACAGTGTCAAAGTGCGAATGACTGAGCATTTCAGGGGCCTTTCAGCTCAGCTGCTGCTGCTGAACAAACTGCAACGGCTTTAAGTTTCCAAACGCATCATCGTCCAGCTAATGCATCCCGTGTTTCCCTGCCTTTCAGAAGGTCATCGGGGACTTAGTGTAATTGTTTTATAAGGCGATGCTCATTGTTTCTGCCTCTGTGTGCCCTCGTCAGTGACAGCGCTGCCATGGCGTCAGGATCTCCAGACGTGGCGACCAATCAGGAGCCTGCTGAGGTCCAGGAGGATTGCTCGGGTACGTACGACTGAGAGTGTGTTTGACGTTTTAGTTTGTGTGTAATAGAGCCTACAAATATTCCTTTTGACTTGACTTTTTTAGAGTTTTCTAGGACAGCTACTTTGAAACTGAGTGAGTCTGCAGTGAGACTGATGTGGGCGCATCTATAAATCTAAGCAAACAAACTCGTTTTGTGAGCGTTTAAAGCAACTCTGATAAACTCTTCCTCTGTGCGTGCGTTCAACTCTGGCTGTCCTGCTTCTCATGTATGGAAAACCAGGAGGGCCAAAAACATCTGACGTCTCTCACATGCAAAGTGCTATTTTACGTGCAAACAACTGTATTCACAACTAAATGCCAGTTTTTCATCTGATCTGAGTCCTTGTTGGACGAAAAGAAAGCAATAAACTAAACAATATGATGATGTGGTCTTAAAGTTTTGTCACAGTATTTTGTTGTATTATTGTGATAATGATAACAGTGACAATAAGGGCCATTCAATTGTTTTTAGGCAATTGTGTGTCACATCAATTTTAGCCCCACAAACACAAATAATGCTGTTGAAAAAACATTTCCATTTCTGTTGCGCTTCTTTAGGACACGAGTCACAAAAAGAAGTGTGACTTGTTTTGTCCATGTTTTTCAATGTGTTGGTATTTACTTTGTTGAACAAATAGTGGAGGAAATGGTAAAACATTCAGCAACAGGGGCAGTTTTGGGAGGTTTTAAACGTCAAACATTGTTTATCGTGACAATAAGATATTTATCACGATAAATGCTCACCCCCCTAATACCAGAAAATAAAAATATGGCAACACATATGAGAAATGATTAAACACACAATGGATCCTCTCCGCTGTGTGCGTTTTCCCCCCTCAAAGGTCACCACCTTCTCACTGAGTCGCAGTAGATCAGCTCCTTCGTTTCTGACCTTAGCGTCCATTGAATTCTCCGTGCTCCTATTCTGACGCCTTCTATTCTTGTTTTAGAAGCTGAATGTTGGCAGATCCAGGTTTACCCAGCTTTCCAGCAGCAGAGCGGAAGTGACCTTACACCAGCTTGGTGGCCTTTTTCCTTTTTTAGCCATACATTATGTGGAGAATGGCTCAGTAAATGACCAGGTTGGGTGGTGCTTCCCCCCTGATATTTATTGCCGGCATGCAGAAAGGCTTCTCGCGCTTCACGAATTAATAAAACATATAACTTGATTTAGATTTGAAAAAACATGTTAAAAAATCTGTTCGACTCGGAAGTGATTATTTAGTATCGAAAGCATTATTGCAGCTCAGAATTTGTTCGTGTCTGCAGGGCATTCCTGTGTAACCTACCATCGCGTGTATCTGTGCCATCTTTTTACAATCAGCTGGAAAAGACTGCTTTTATTCCTGCTTTGCTTTCCAGGAAAGAAGAAATCAAAGTTCCAGACATTCAAGAAACTGTTTGCTCGGAAGAAAAGGAAAGAGCCGCAGAGCGCCGGAGCGGAGGAGGGCCTGAAGGGGAGCCAGTCGAGTGACAACGTCAGCAAAACGTCGGAGAGCAACACGCTGACCCGATCCGAGAAGGAGAAGGGTTCTGGGTACGATCACACACATTTCCACTCGCTAACGTTTAGCAACCACCGGGCCACGAGAAACATATTTGTTCCCATAAGGATTTCCTCTGGTTTTTGCTTTTTGACACACTTCAATGTTTTCGATCGTGAAATCAACATTGGGTTATGTGGAAATACAAATCCGGTCATTTCTTAGACCAGTTCAACCAGGCTGGGTATGATTTACTCAGCCTGCAGCTCTTCCTCCCTGAACTCATGGCAGCAGTCACCGCCATCGGCTATTTGCGATAATTGGCATGAAGTCGATCTGCTCCATTATCCACAAACTGTTGACCAGAGACAACCATACATTGGGCTGGTAGAGAGCACAATGTACTGTATGGTTTCATCAAATGAAGCCACATAGCAGCCCCAGAGCATCATTCTACCTCCACCATGTTGGGCTGTGGGATCTAACAATATTTTCCCAAAGGTTTTCTGAATCAGAGGTGCTTTTGGAAAATCTGGCTTTTGTCTTCTTTTCTGTCCTTTAGACGTTGCTCTGGTGTGTTTATGGTCATCTAGATCAGTTTCTGAAGAACTCCTGTGGGTTTGGTAGGTTTAGCCACTGCTGGAAAAGTTCACCACTCTCCCATGTTCCTGTTTTAGAAATGGCTTTGTCACGCTATGCAGACCGATAGATATCAGTAGCTGCATATAATTCCGCAATTAGACATTTTGACAATAAATTTGTTCAGTGGAAACGCAGCAATTTTGAAAAAAAAAAAATCCTGTTTTTTTATAAAACAGAGCTTTGACGTTAGCACAAGTTTGTTTTTTGTTTTTTTCTTTTTTGGAAATTGGAAAATTGGTTTATTTTGGAAAAACTGCAATGGAAACAATTCTTTTTTTTTTCTGCACCATGCGAGTCACATGATCAACAACCGGACGTTGCCGCTGGCGCAAACCTCGAAGCAGGAGGCAGGAAGCAGTTGGAGGATCATGGCACCACATTCTTTATTGCACCATCAAACTGATTCATGTGGGAATTTAGTTGCGTTTCTTATGTAGTGGAAACATCTTTAATTATGAAACTTTGCGTTGCTGATATATTGACCATTTTGCACAAAGCTAGTGCCTTTGTTTCCATTTTGAAATTGAGTTAGTTTGGAGCCTGAGGTGTGGCTTTAGGAGACCTTTGCCTACTTCATGTTACCAGAAGAGTACTATTTGAGTCATTTATTTATTTTACATTTCAGTCTGGAAGTTCGGACTACTGAAACTGAACCAAAATAATGTGCTTAAAAGGGTTAAATATTTAAATCGAGGCAGCAGCATTTTCATAGGAGCCACCTGATTCAGGTTGCTGTTCCACATCCAAGTGTGATTTCAAAAAATAAATAAAACAATCAAGACAAAGAGATCATTTTATTGGTTTCTGTTCATTAAAAAGGGAACTCACTGCTACAGTTGAGGTCTCGGACATTTACAGCTAAATCATTGTCAGTCTGCCCTTGTGTCTGTTGTCTAAAAATATATATATATATTTCAGAAGTTACAATCAATTTGAAACAATGTTGTTGATTTCCCCGTAGATGAGTGAAGATCCAAAATGATCTCTTACCACAGAGTTCTGCTGCCTGATTAGATTCATTAAAAGAACGGATCCCATGTGCAGAGCTGATTTAGGAGAGACTGTGTTTTGAGGTCCATCTCCTCGGCGGCGGCTCGGTGCTTCCTGTTTTTGTCCACCAGGAGTGGAGCGTCTCTTCCTGACGACAGGTTCAGGATTTCTTTGTTTTCGTGAGCCGTGCCCACTTCCTGCCTCCGCCGGCCTTTTGTCTGTGTCGCAGGACGTGTCTTGTTAAATTTTTTTTTTTTGTTTTTACCAATGGTCCAAAAAAAAAAAAGAAAGAAAATTGTAACGTTGTAATAGTGCTTACAGTTTTTATTTTGTTACCATAAACATTTCTCTTCCTATCCGTTGTTCCTGAAGGTCGAGGATCAGTCTGGGCAACAAGGCCTTGTCACATGACTCTGTTTTCGTCTCTGATTCGTCAGAAGCTAACGAGGGCCTCGATGCGTCTCAGGACAGCATTCATGGGAAAGTTAAATCCCTACAGGTAAATATCAACTGCTGAGTTTTACTCTTTGACCCCAAATTTTTTAAACTCCATGGCAACCACCGAGCTGTGAAAAACACCTTGATGGACCGAGCACCGCCTACGACGGCGAAGCTTACGAGAACAACCTTACCCACTCAGCTCCTTCAGACTAGTCAGCTGCAATTAGCAGACAACTGGTGGAGCCAAGCATCAGCTGAGCTCATTATAGCAGCTACTTCTCAGTCACACGCTGGCAAAAACCTTGTGAAAGGGTTCAGAGGAGTAATGCTATGATGACTTTCTGAAGGCAGAGTTTCAGAAAGAGCAGGAGCTTCTTAAAGAGACAGAGGCCCAATTTCAAGGCGTTAAATTTTATAAGAAAAGAAAGTGACGTAGTTACTTGATTGTGGTATAAAAAGGCACTATTTGGTTGTAAAATACATAAGCACATATCCGTCTGTCACAGCAGCGGTCTAAAAGGGGAAGACATGACCTCCAGTACTCGGCTGCGGAGAGCAGGAATAAAGCCGCTCCTTAATGGGATTTGCGAAAGAGCAAAACTTTTCCCTGCAGTCGAAATGAAGAGGAAGTTTTTTGGGCCTGTTCACGGCAGACGATGCGGCTGGAGCTTCAGGTACGGGGAGCCGCTCCAAAGGGTGAGCCGCAGCGATGCATCTGGCAGATAGGAGTTCAGACACAGTCATTAGCATTAACTGAGTTTAGAGAGAAAAATGATCCGACGGAGATATTCCCAGCTTAATCCTCGCTCTCAGAGGGGGCTTCCTGTTTGATGAGCGGAATTAGGTCATTCCAGAGCTAAATATAATCACGTCGTGCAAAGATCAATATCTAATGAGACGCTACAGGACAGCGTCTCGTGTCCTACATGTTTACATTCAGCACACGCACAACACAAGATCACCATCCACCAAAAATGTCACTGAACGAATTGTGTTATATCTCTGTCAACTGAAATGGGACAAATACTTGAAACTAAAACATCACTGCTTTTATTCAGTGTTGGCAAATTTTTTATTATTTTTTTTATGTTTCTAAAAGCGACGACTTTGAACCTGAACTAGACCTGACCTGTTGTTGCGCTTCCTCATGGTTCTTCCGTTACTTGGTCTCTGACACTAACGACAATGAACACGTTATATACTGGAAAATAAATGCAACATAAGGTTAAAAACATTGCCCTTTAGAACGGATGAAAATGTTTAGCTACTTAAACAGTAGATTTTTACAGGAAAAATGTCCGGAAACGGCCGAACCGCTTTTCCCCGAACGCGGAAGCTGACGTGCACAGAGCCCATTAGTCACGATGTTTTAGGTTTCATTTCACAAGAGTCTCACATCAGTTTCCTGGAATTTTAGCCAATTTATATCGCAAAGCGTTTCCAACTGTTTCTAGTTTTTTTTTCCTAGCATGTGCAGCCACCACACAAGAACGTTAAAAGTGTAACATTTTCAAAACTGAATGCAGCAATGTATTTCAACTTCAGTCAAACTCAATATTAAATCAACGCTCTGTTTCAAACAACTTCATCTTCCTGAACCAGTAAAACTAGCCGAAGAAATTCTTCAATATTCATTATTCAAGCCGCTCTGCGTGAACACTGATTCCTGAATCTTTCTATCTGCATCCATTTACAATCATTGACGCAGGCCGTCCACACTCGCCCAATGAAATCTGTATTTTCCAGTGTTTGCTTTGTGGCGGAGATAAGAAACCTGTTTGAGTTTCTGTGATAGCGACGGAACGTGCAAGAACTTTGACCCTCCGTTGCCAATGAAGCCCCCGCAAAAAGCCCCACGTTGTTAATTATCCTCCACACTCAAAATATAAAAAATGTGTAATTATTAAACGGGAAGTGAAAACTCTCGGCATTCCTATCCTCTGGAAAGCGAGTCAACACATCTTCGATCAAATCTGCAAATATTGTTTCAGATTAGAGTCTGAAAATAGGAACATTAATTTCTGTTCAGGAATAACAGTTTGCAAAATTTCTCAAATGAGTTATTTCCTAGTTTAAGAATAGATCCAGGTGCTGCGTGAATAAAAACCGACAAACTGGTTTAGATCAGAGCACATCCTTCAAGAAATGGACCAGTCAAAGTCCAAATCTTAAATCTAAATTAGAATCTGACACAAGACTTGAAAGAGGAGGGGAAATGAAAGTTTTTAGAACATTGAGAAGAAGAAGTGATTTCCCAAAGGTTTGATTCAAAGAGATGAATAAAAAGTGGACTGGATTTTTTTTTCTTTTTGACTTACAAGCTGCCAAAACGTGAGAAAAATGTCAAGAGAAGAGAAAGTAAAAAGTTTTTCCAAGTTATTTGCGAGCTTCCTTCTCCTCCGTCGTTCATGACGGAAGAGAATCACATCCAGAACTCGGTCCGTCAGTCGGGCTTCCCGGCCGCACGGCCAGAGTGAGCATTTAAGGGGAGCAGCAAAAGCAAAACGAGTTGGATTAGCAGCGCCTGCCAACGGTGTCATCTAGAAAATTTCATTGTGAAATATCATTTCTGCTGCCTGAAAATTGAGCGCTTGGCGCCACAAGACCGTCACGCGGCAACGGTCTTCGGTCAGAAACCTTTTTTAGCTCCTGCTCCTCGCTGACTGCTACAGGAGGCCGCAATGGGTTTTTGGAGATGGTTATGTGACTCACGACAAGGTTCTTTTGAACTTTGCAAATAAAATGTCTGATCATTTCTGACGATGTTTGGTCTGCAGCTCCAGCTGAAGCAGGCGATCAGACTCGGTTCTCCTCCGTCCTTAATGTGTGTGAAGAAGACCGAAGACGGCGGAGCCACGTCTGAGGACGACGGCCTGCCCTGCAGCCCTCCTGACTACACACCCCTTCATTCAGTCAAGGTAGCACACACACACACACACACACACACACCCACCCACACACACACACACACACACCACTGCAGTCTGTCTGGAGTTTTTTTTTTTTTTTTTTTTTGCTCTAATGTTTTTCTTCTCTTTTCTATTTGTGCTTTTCTCAGAGTAAAGCTGAGAGGTCCAGTTCCAACAGCCTGCATGGAGTGGACAGCGACGAGCGGGTAAAGAAACACTTTAACGCTTATTAATCTGTACAGATGGGAAAGTACAGAAACTTAAGTGAAAGTGCAGATGATTTGATTACGTTTTACTTAAATACGAGCGAGTTTCCAGGCGTAAGATGCTGCTCGAGTAAAAGTAACGAGTTCGTCACGGAGGTTGTGCTGCAGGTGAAAGTTGGAAGGAAGAAAGCTTTGCGAGTTTCTCAAAAGAAATGAGATAACTTTGGTCTGTAACTGTTAAAATGCAATACAACATAAACTGTGAGCAGCCAGTGCGACAGCATGAATATCATTTGGCCGGTTCTTCATTTCGGTCATTTTTAACCTTTCCACACGCAGAGAACAAAAGGAAAATGAAAAACACACACGCAATGCTGAAAAAATGAAACCAAACTAAAAAAGCAAAAGGAAAGAAAACAAAATAAGGCATAAAAAAAATTGATGACAAAAGATAACAGCTGAAGGAGCTATCCAGCTATTTTTTTTTCAAATGTAACCAAGTGAAAAGCGACCAGTGTCACTTGATTGCATAAATGCTGGGAACCAGTTCCCTCACTCCCTGTTCTTCCATCGACTGTCACGTTTTGAACATGTTTCCAAACTGCCGCCGTTTGCAAAGTGAAGAAAAGCTCAGCGGGAAGCAGGAAGCGTCTCTGCCCTGTGTGAGTGCGTCTGTGTTCGGTTGGTTTCTGCTCATGTGATCGCGGTGATGAACATCTCATGATCCCAGTTCTACACATTAAACTCCTGGATCCAGATAAAAGCATTCTTTGCGTGAAATGAACCTCACTCTCTCTCCCTCTCTTTCTCTCTCTCTCTTTCCTTCTGTCGCTTTTTCTTCTTTTTCTTTTTCTCAGTTTTTCCCTCCGTGACTTTACGACTTTGCACTCCCGAACGCTGGATGCGGCAAGAAGCGGCCGTCTTTCTCAACCTCCCTGACTCCACCAGCGAGTCGGGGCCAAATGAGCTTTTAATGACAGTGAAGTTTCGGTCGTTTCAGAAGCGTTTCGGCCCAATCGCGCGTTCCCGACTGGAAAGAGTGACAAATGACTGGCTGAAAAGAGGCGCTCACAAAAACCCCCAAAAAATACAAAATCAGCCCTTTTAAAGGAGATTCCTCTCATTGCAGTGAAGCTCAGGATGCCAGTTAAACACTTAAGATGAGTTTATGTTGCCAGTTTATGTTACACCGCCTTGAAAAAGTTGTTTTTTAAACATTTTGTCTGATTTTTCTTTGCGTCTAGTTGGGATTCTAACTAGATGCATCACAGATGCTTCAGTGATGTCACTTCCTCTTGTTTTGGCCCACACGCAGGAAGACTTATTGGATTGCAAACAGGAAGAGAGATATTTGTGTGTGTGTGTGTGCGTGTGTGTGTGTGTGTGTGTGTGTGTGTGTGTGTGTGTGTGTGTGTGCGCGTTTGTGTGTGTGTGCGTGCGTGTGTGTGTGTTGTGTGTGTGTGTGTGTGTGTGTGTGTGTGTGTGTGTGTGTGTGTGTGCGCGCGCGCGCGCAAAGGGGATTGAGTTCGAAACTGATCAAAATATTCAAACTCCAAATTTTTGAGTATTTCCCGCAGATGTTCTGTTTGCGAAAAAAGTAGAAAGCAATGAAATGAATTGGGATCGGTTGTTGTGAAGTGTTTCTCTGGACTGACCGGTTCCAGGTCCGTTTCGTGTCAATTGAAAATCACCTTCATGTCAGCGGCCGCATGTTTTTCCCTCTGCGATCAGAGATTAAAAACATGCAAAGTCGTTCCTAATAACTGAATCATTAATCAATGTGTTTGATATTTACAAGCTTGACGATTTGAATGATTGCATTGGACAAAACCTAAAGTTTGATACTTGTTTCGTATCGGCACTTTGAACTGCCTTGTTGCTGAAATGGGCCCTGCAGATAAACTGGTGTATTGTGATGGTTTACCATGAGCACGGCGGTCAAAAACAGCCTGTTTGTGCTGTTTCTGTCTCTGTGTATAGACAATAATACATGGACATATGGCCCATTATTTTGTATTTGCACTGTGTGAAAAAAAATCTAAATCAATAAAATGGCTGAGGGGAAACGATTACAATTTACATTTAACAGCATTTAGCTTCGTTCATTCACATTTTAACGTAAATCGTTGGATCTGATGTTTCTGCAGTGCGTAAACAATCATTTAATGATTGAGTTTGTTTCAGTTCATGCGTTCCTAAAGAGCACAGCCTCCCATCTGCAGCGCCGCAAATAACCATCATGTGTTGACGGGACGATGCTGCTCTTTGTGTTCATGTGTGTTTCTGTTCAAGCCGAGCCTCAAGCTGCTCTTCTGACCTTAAATGGAAGTGTGCAGGTTGACCTCTTCTTTCTCTGCATGTCACATCTCTCTCTCTCTCTCTCTCTTTTTTTTCCTCCTACTTCTGACCCTTTTCCTCTCGCTTGCAGCCGCGCTGACCTCCTGTGTGCGTGTCTGTGTGTTCGGGGTGCATTCCGATGGTTAGCTCTGCAGTCAGCGTGTCTGCCTTTAGTTCCAGCGCTCCGATTCGACACGCCTCCTCGCCTCGCCGTCATGTTTCTGTGGAGACGACGCTCTTCTGCTTTACATTTCACCTCAACGACGAACGCAGCTTAGACACCCTGAAGTACCTCTGACTTAAAGAAACAAAAACAAAACAGAATTGTGTTAGTGTGGCCTGATTTTGGCTCACCCAACATTTTTCTGCATTACTCTGAAGGTTTTTTTTTTTTTTGTTCTTGCTGACTATGTGGATGGAGTTAACTGAGCTCATAAAGGGGTTTTCCCCCCAAAGTGTAGTCCAGAAACATCAAGCGGTTTCCTTTCCCTTACGCCGATAAGTGCTGGGAAAGTGAAGCTTCTGTCAATAAGTTATGTGGGAAACACTCTGCCGAAACCGTCTGTCTCCTTCCCCCGCCAGCTGTCCATCAGAGCCGTGAGCCCCCCGGCGGTTCCCGGGGACTTCAGCCAGCCGGCCAGTCCCTTCGTCTGCCTGGATAACTCTGCTGCCAAGCACAAGCTGGGCCTGAGAAACAAGGCCTGCAACAGGAGGAAACCGGGCCGGGTAAGACAACCACACACATCCTCCAGTTACATGGCCCAGAATATAATCAGTCCTACAAAAAACCCAATAAAAACAACAAAAAAAAACCCAGATTGTACTGAAATATTTATTTAAGTAAGCTCACTGTGTCTGTATGTGTAAGTTAAAGTCCCAGAACTTAAGTCTTGTTCTTCTGAGGACGTTTTTGTTGCCGTCCGTTGGACAGTAAGTAGCAGCTGATGGTGACGCGTCATATCTCTGCAGCGCCTGCAGCTGAAAACTGAAGGCGACTCTGCAGTGGAGGAGGAGGAGCAGCAGAGGGCAGAAGGTCAGCGCCATTCACTGATCACTCAACACATTTCATTAAGTCACACAGGAGTTTCTGAAGGCCAATAGCAAATTGTAATTGTCACTTTTTTTATTTATTTGCTTTTTTTCCTATACATATCTGAAGTAGAGCCTGAAGGGAACAACAGCTAATGATTGTGTTTGTTTCTTTTGATTATTAGGTTGTTTTTTTTCTGTTTGTTTTTATTTTTGTCAGTGTGTTCTCCTATTTCAAGGTAACCATGACTCTTAGGAACTCTTTTCTGTCTGTGACTCAGTCGAAAGTCGGGATCAGCTGAAAGCGGAAACTGAACAGGAGGAAGACGAAGAGGACAAACCCCAGAAAGATTCCCCGGCGATCCCGCTCGCAGACGACGAGGGAGAAGGTGACGCGGAAACGGAGGAGGATGTTTCTCACGCCCCGGACGCTTCCTGTCCTCTGGAGTCCAGCCTCTCTGAGGAGAGACACGAGGAGGAGGAAGATGAGGAAGAACAGGGCGCCTCAGTTGATGGAGGCGCTCCCTCCTCCAGCTCCACATCCTCCTCCTTGGACAGTCCCAGGTGCTCCCACATCATTTCCTCCTTCTTCTCCTCCTTTCTTTGTGTTTTTTCTTGTTTAAACCTCCACTCACATAAAACCTGTTGGTTTTCCAGCGTGTCACCAGAGCCCCCTGCTGGTCAGACGGAGCACCTGACCGGCCCCGCAGGATTCTCCTGCGCCGTCCACTCCGAGAGTGACTCTTCATCGGGGGAAGAAGCAAACGTGGAGGAGGGGAGCTCGCTCTTGGAGGAGGTGCTGAGCTCCTTGAAGACGTCTCACTCGCCCGATGTGGAGCTCAGCGGCGTTGTCATGGAGACGGAGGATGAGGCAGTGGAAGTTGAGGAGAGGAAGGAAGAGGCGGATCCCGCTGGTGTTGAGGGCCCCGCCTCGAGTCCTGACACGTCTGATCGGATTGCCCAGGAGGAAGAGGAGGCTCTTCCTCAGTCTCTACAGGAGGAAGAGGAGGCTCTTCCTCAGTCTCTACAGGAGGAAGAGGAGGCTCTTCCTCAGTCTCTACAGGAGGAAGAGGAGGCTCTTCCTCAGTCTCTACAGGAGGAAGAGGAGGCTCTTCCTCAGTCTCTACAGGAGGAAGAGGAGGCTCTGCCTCAGTCTCTACAGGAGGAAGAGGAGGCTCTTCCTCAGTCTCTACAGGAGGAAGAGGAGGCTCTTCCTCAGTCTCTACAGGAGGAAGAGGTCGCTGTAGAAGAAGAAGCAGCAAAAACCATAGAGGAAGAACTGGAGGAGGACAACATTTCAGAGCGATTCATTCAACAAACTGTATGTCTATGAATACTGTCAATAATAGCTTTCCAATTATTTCTATTGCTTAATCTACAGCTTCACATTTGAATGAGTTATAAACATAAAAAACATTTTACAAAGCCAGAAAGTTTTACGTTTCACAGATACCTGATGTGTTTTTACTTTTATCGTACGACAGGAACAGGAAAACTGTCATAATGTCGCGACAGTTTAGACATATGAGAGATAAAAATGTTCAGCAGTGTGCATCACTTTTCCACTCGTATTTTCCAGGAGGAGGAGGAGGAAGTTGAATCGGAGGAAGAAATCAAACAAACTATCAAGCAGGAAGACGCGGAGGAAGAATGGGATAGCGGCGAGGAAGAGGAGGAAGAGGAGGTAGAGTTAAAGGAGGAGCCAGAAGCTGTTGAGGAAAAATGCGAGAACGAGGTGGAAGGCAGGGAGGAAGGAAGCAGTGTCGAGGTGGAGGAGATGACAGATGAAGAAGAGGCAGAGGAGGAAGCTAAAGGGGATGAAGAGAAAACGACAGAGGGGATCCCTGACGCTGAAGATGAGGAGGAACCGACTGCCTGGTCGTTTCAAGAGGAAGGCGAAGGAGATGATGCTACCCCAGAGATGGATGGTCAGATAGTTCCCAAAGTGAACGAAGAGCAGCAAGTTTTTAATAATGACCCTGGAGCTGAGGAAGAGGAAGAAGAAGAGGAAGATCTCCAGGATCGTGAATCAGAAGACGTGGAAAGAAGTCCCGATAGAAATCAGAGTGGAGAAGACGTGGAATTGGGAAAAGACGAAACAAGTCCCTTCCTGGAGGAAAAGGAAGCTGAAGCTGAGGAAGAAGGCCGTGTTTCCTCCAGACTTCCTCTGCTCTTCCTGCCGGAGTCGCGCTCTGTTTCCTGTTCAGATCAGAGTCCCACCAGTTCCCCCAGTAAGACCAGCACCTTACACATCCATCTCGCCTCCCCCACCTCAGAGAAACCCAGCTCTCCGCTCCGCCTCGCTGCTGAAACAGAGCCACTTTCCCCCACCGAGGAACCCGCAGAGTTTGACGTGACAGAGCGGCGAGAAGGCGTGAAAAACCCAGAAGAAGAAGAGAAGCAATCGGCGCCAGAACAAGATGATTCCTCCACACAGGAAGCTCCGTCAACGCCGACGGATCAAAGCAAAGCCCGTTTTACCGTCGCCCCGGCGTGGCAGCGGCTACAGAGCCATCCCGCCTCCCCGACTGAAGCTCCGGCGCTCCGGGACAGCAGAGCCGAGGCGGAGGAAGCGGCCCGGAAGGAACGGGATGTGAAAGCGGAACCCGGCAGCCCGGCCGAGGCCGAGCTGGCACCGAGTCCAGTCAGAGGGAGGAGTTCAGGGAGCTTCACCTCCAAACCGCAGAGCTATGCAGCATCAACTCCAGCTGAGGCTCATACCGGAGCGGCGGGGAGAACGCCAGGTGAGAACACCGGGCCTTTAAGGTAGTTGCCATGGTAACTAGACTACAAAATACGAAGTTCTGAATATGTATGAAGTTAGAGGCTAGAGCAGGGATGACCAAACATTTTGCTATTAGGGCCACAATTAGTTTCTATTTAAACCAAAAAGCTGACCTTTGCTTTTGTTTTGTTGTGTTTTTGTTTTTGGACAGGGCACCAAATCTGGTTCTAGCCCAGGGCCCCTTATTCTTCTAATCCGGCCCTGCTGAAAATATACTTTTTTATAGACATTTGTGGTTTTTATCTCCTCAATAATATACTAAATAGACAATATTTTAGATATTCTAAATGTTGTAGAAAAAGGAATCTGTCAATTATTGTTGAATCAAAATGCAAGCAGGGTCTTTCACAGTTGCTGTTTTCAGTAAATATGTGGGGGATTTACTCTTTGTTGCTTCTTTCTTTTACATTTTTTTTAATAATACTTGGCAATAATGGTTGGATGGCACTGGCTCGTTTTAACAAAGTATAATCAGTGAAAACAGAAACATTGTTGATAAAAGAGAAACACTTTGTCTTGTACTCAAGGAAAACCCAGAATTCAGTTACTCAGAAAATTAGAAAATAAATTCAAATAAGGCCCGGGGACCAAAACTTTTTACGAGCTCCACATAAAAACAACCTTAAAAATTTTTTTAAAAACTGTTGTGCGCTTAAATATTATTTTATTAATCAAATCAAAGCAGTTTTTATCTGAATAGTTCCAAACTGCAGCAGTGTGAAAAGAGGTTTAATGTTGTTTCATTAAAAGAAGTGCTCTTTGAATACACAGGCAGCTGTTTGTTCATATTTCTACAGTTTAACATGTTTTATCTTTAAATTTGTTCACATGGACAATCATAATCTTGATATTTCCCAATACGAAAATGAGTTTGACTCCCCTGTGGATAATAATCTCAACTCAACATCATTAACTGAAGTTATTGGAAAGTTTGGTGGAAGGAAAAACTATGGCCGGGTTGTCATCTGCCAGCCCATTTACCACCTGCACTCTCCTGTTTACTGGCAGTGACTCTGACCTGTTCTGCCTACAGAGAGCGCTGCAGTGGCAGAGGCCAACCCAGATGGTCCGTTTGGGGTCCGGCTGAGGAAGACGTCGGCTCTGCTCCGGTTCGGCTCAGAAGAGGTCGAATCAGAGGTAGGCAAACACAAAGCAGGAAGTCGAGCCCGACGCAAACGTTTCACTTTAAACTCGTCGTTGTTTGTCAAACAGCCTCAAGTCGAGTCTCCGACGCATCCACTCTCCGCTAAGGCCGAGTCGCCCCAGCCAGTCAGCAGCAAGCCCCCCACGAGCCATCCAATCAGCAACAAGCCCGCTCTGCCCAAGAAACCGGAGATCCACGGAGACGCTGGCACCAAACCGAGACGCATCTCAGGTCTCTGCCGCCGCCCCGTCACGCGCCGTCCGCACGAGTCGGTGATCTGACGGCGTCTATCTGCTGTGTTGTGTCCCTTCAGAGCCGGCCGTGGCCCGCAGTGCGCCCGACGGCTCCCATCCCCCCACCTGGATCTCTGTGGCCAAACAGAAGCAGAAGGTTTACAAAGAAACCCCACTCAATGAAATTACAGTCCAGAAGGTAATCCTTTCATTCTTTTTTTGTACAGTATTAATGCGTGTTGCACATTTACAATGTGTGAACGTTTCTCCAGGAGGAGCAGGAGGGGAAGCCGCCGTCGCCTCCAAGCAGGGAGCAGAGCAGCAGCAAACCGCCTGAACCCACCAGCAGAGGTCAGCGTCTGATATACAGGAAGCTTAAGAGCTCAAGTGAACAACAGTTGTTCTTGTGGACGTGGATTCTCACTGGAGCAACACTGCCCCCACGTGGCCAAAGTCAGCTACTGGAAAACAGACCAAAGACTAGCCATGATTACGTCCAAGTTGAAATCTACAAACAAGTACAGTATTTTCTGGACTATGAATTGCTCCAGAGTTTAAAAAATGCAACAGAAAGAGGGGGAAAACATATTTAAGATGCACTGGAGTAAATGTGACCTTTAGGTCTCAAAACTATTCTCTGTGCTTGCCACCACTTAGTCGTACAATATAAAAAACATAGGAAAAATTACAGAATTCAGATAAATATGGGAAACTTAAGAAGTAAGAAATCCACATGTACACCCAAAATTAGCAAGTCTAAATTTTAAACACTTTTTAAATGTTTTAACATTGTTTTTCAAGGTTAAAGTTTGACACCTAAATAGCTAAATTCATCCATATTTTTTTTTGTAATCCCCATTTATACAAATGTCTGCTATACAACACGAAATCATTACAACACAACATGTTGGAATGACACGCAATTGTTTTTATGAACTGCGGTGATGTGAGACCTCTGGAGGAAAAGAAATTGATCAAACTATCCTCACACTACTGCTTCCTGTTGTCTTCTTTGTCGTTTTCGCCAGTAGTAACATCCAGTTGCTGATCACGATCAAAACTGTTTCCATTGCAGTTTTGAGGAAAAAAAAAAAGAAACAATTTCACACGGCTGAAAACCACCTCACCCCAACGCAAAACCTTTTTTCAAACAGCTTCCTTTAACCGAAGCTGTTTTTCAGAATGTCAACGTGCGCAGCCAATTGAAACGCAGCTAGTTTCACTGCATACGTAGTAACTGAGTCTAAATTCTCTATTTGTTTTCTTTTTTTTCTCCAGTGTCGGTAGAAAAGGAGACCAGAAGGACTCTCTCTGTTCCGACTCCAGTGCCGCCTCAGCCTCCGAAGACCCCGCTCCAAAAGCCGCCGGCGCCCCCCACCCCGGCAAAACCCTCGCCCCGACCGGACTCGCCCCGCTCCTCCCCCTCGAAGCCCCCGCCCGTTCCATCCAAAACACCGCCGGTCGCCCTGCCGAGGACTGTCCCGGAAAAGGCTGCCCCCAGGCAGGCTGCGCCCCCCACCACTCTGCCCCAGGATGAGCCCCCCTGGATGGCGCTCGCCAAGAAGAAGGCCAAGGCCTGGAGCGAGATGCCGCAGATCGTCCAGTGACGGCTCCCGGTGCTCACGACCCAAACAGGGTTTTTGGGTGTCGAAACGTAAAAACTATAAAGCACCGCACTGCGTTTGCACGTTGTATCGCCGGCTTCGGGCTTTCTGATTGGCCTCCAACGAGCCGTCCTGTAGCTACAAACAGCTTCTTTTGCTCTGCCTCCACATCTTCTACAGCCACGTCTGTCTGAATCACACAAGTACATGTATCCATATTTCTCTCTGTCCCTATTATTATGAAATAAGGTGCCTAAATCAGACACATTTTCAGGAAACTACGACTGTAACTAAATTAAGAGTCAAATATCAGCTAAGAACGCAGGATCATGGCATCCATTTAGTAGACGAGAGTCAGTCTGTTTCATTCTGCTGCGAGGCGATGTGTTCTGCACTTCCCTTTCCTAGTGTGAGGTGTTTTTGTTTTTTGTTTTTTTTATTTCGACGATGAAGAAAGTCCTCCAGCAGAGCTGCCTAACATTTTCTCCAGAGGCAAAACTAATCACTGATTGCTGCCTCAGCAGGTCTGCAGCAATAATGAAAGTATAAACTTTGTGGCTCCTTTCCTCTCCTGCTTCCTGAGACCTTCTGTTGTCGTTTCTCGGCGCGCGTCCCTCAGACGCTTAATATCCACAGCAAAACATCCTGTTCAGGACCGAAACCGGGCGGCCAGCATCGTCCCGTCTCCAGGGCCAAGCTTTGCTCTCTTTTTTTAATTTTTGTCTTACAGTCATTATCAATGTGACACGTTTTATTTTGCGTTGGCTTTGGAGAATTTGTCTTGTACATAAAGTGTACAGTTAAAAAAACAAAAACAAATCAAGTGAGACCTTGTTCTTCTCTCTGTGTGTGTGTGTGTGTGTGTGTGTGTGTGTGTGTGTGTGTGTGTGTGTGTGTGTGTGTGTGTGTGTGTGTGTGTGTGTGTGTGTGTGTGTGTGTGTGTGTGTGTGTGGGGGTTTTTTTTGGTCTGTCTTGTGCGATAGGGGAGGAAATCGTGTCTTGTAAAAGCTTTCAGACTTGAATTTTTTAAATCTTGCAACCACAAACCTCTGAATCACAGGAGTTTACGTGACAGACTCGTGGCGCGTCACAGTTGAGCTCCTTTAAAATTTCTTGTCTTTTTCTGTCCTTTTTTCATATGAATAATATGCAAGAACTATTTGCCCCAGATTTTGACGAGGAGAACTGGCAGCTTTGCCCTCTTAGAAAACAAGAACCTCTTCCAAATCTACCACAAAACACTCAACCGTTGAGGTGACTTCTGCTTCTGTCTTCATTATGATTTCAAAAAGGCAATCGGAGGAAGAAGTAGAAGAGGAAAGCCGCAATGAGTGGAGCTACTGAAGACGGAGAGGTGAAGTGCATGAGATGATTTCTGATCATCACCTGAAAGGTCACTGAAGGGCCCGTATTACGTAAAATTATTTTGTAATGTTCCGTTAAAAACATACCTGGAGTGTTGCTTTAATTCGTTCGTGCATGTTTGAGAAATCCTTCAGTCTCTATGGCAACCGCTCAGCTGTACAAAATGCCTGGGTGGGCCTAGCCCCGCCTTCGAGGCATAACTCCTCCTCTGACCTGGAGTTTCCAAACTTCAGAGCTGGAGCAAACGTCCCCCACTCTGCTCCTTCAGACTAGCCAGCAGCAATTAGCAAACACCTGGTTCAAATGGGCGTTGGCTGATCTTATTATTCGTGCTACGGTGTGACGATTTCCTGAAGGCAAGATTTTCAGAAATGGTGAGAGTCTTTAAAGAGGCAGAGACCCAATTTCAAGGCACTGAATTACAAAATTGTATTTCTTTTAAGTTCTATTTGATAGAAATAAGCACAATGGTTTCCTGATTGCATTATAAAATGGCATTATCTTCCTGAAAAATGCATAACACTGCCCCTTTAAGGAAATCAAAGTTGCACTGGTTGGTGTTTAAAGGCACCACAGCTTAAAACTCTTTTAAAACATGAAGTATGACACTGACTGTGCAATACTTTCACTCCCGGTAGACAATACTCTAGAATACTCTCACTTGTTGGCTTGGATGTAACTAGGGCACACCCAGATCAGAAAAGTTTTGGCAGGAAAAACAACACATGATCACACCTGTTCACCTTAAAGTTATAGAACACAAGGTGCCTGGAAAACTAGTGTTGTCACACACACACACACACACACACACACACACACACACCACACACACACACATATTCATTCTTGTCTGGTTTTGTGTTACTCTGCATAGGAAGCTGACCTAAAGGGGATCCTGCTTGCATAAATGAATCTAGGACTGGAGCCAGCGTTTGCTTCTGGTGTGATACGCGTTCAACATGCAGAACAGGAAGCTGTAATGGGCCGAGCTTAGATTCTCCAGATGTCTTTTTCTGGGTGAGTTAGGTAACGCTGCTGCTGCTGCTGCCTGGCCTACTTCTGACACCTGCACGGTCGCATTCACATGCAGGCCTTAAAGTCGATCAGCCGAGACGCACGATGCGTGCGAGGCCGTGCCAAGTATCCATGGCGATGGCTGGTAGTTGTTGACCTTCTCATGTTCGGATTACATAACCAGGAACTTGGCAGGATGGGACGAGAGAAGGGATTGTATCCGTGTCCCCTGAGGGCGCTCAAGTCCTAAGCAAAGTTGTGGAGGCTCTTTGGAAAGGCAACATTTGTGCTCTGAACAGATGCAGTGTTTGTGTCAAAGTGGCGTGACGCCCGGCGAATCATGAAATTCGGGCGTTTCATTCACCTCCAGGGCCAAAGGTCGAGATGGAGTCCAGCAGCTACAGCAAATGCGTATGAAAGAATCCACTTCCACTGGATCAATGAATTCAAACATCATTATTAGCATACCACCTGTGCAATAAGTCAAGTAATTAAATCTGCTTTGACCTCCAAACTTTATGTAACATTTCCTCCATGCCTCTCTGCACATGGATTGCAAAGCAACATTTTGTCACCTTCCTTTTTTTTTTTTTTTTTTTTTTTGCTGACTTAGTAAAACTTAAAATGTAACCCAAACGTTAAGTACTATTTAAATCAACTGTTGCGAATTTCCGTCACGTTGAATTGTCTCCAGTGAACATATTGTTTCTCATTTGGCTCTTAATTTTGAGTCTTGTTGCTCATTTCCTCTAAACGACAACTAATGTTGCCAGGCTAGTCAGCTAACCAGAACTTAATGTCAGGAGCAGAGGAATAAATTATATGCATAAATGCTATTGAAAAAAAAAATGTTTTTTTCAAAAGTTACATTAAGGATACAATATCAAAGTGCATACATAAAAGGGAAGCCAGCTATTGCGTTGAAACCTTTTTGATGAAGAGGGAAGTACTGGCAACAGCAAAAAAAAAAAAAAAACTAAATCACGAAGGCGTCTTTTGCCTTTTATTATTGAGTGCATTAGTAATGCTCCATTAATTCATCAAACCAGGACGAGTACAGTTTAAGGAAATCCGACCAAAATGTTAGTGAAACATTCAGGCTTTATTGTTGCTACATGAGTTTCCTTCATTACCATATTCACTCTCTGAACACGCTGGGACAAGCAGACTGGATCATCATATAAAGTCAGTGTGAACACATCAATCCAGACACAAGTTTACCAGATAAATCTCACTTATGATTTTACTTTGGACATTTCTATAATTAATTATGTATTCCCTTTTGTGTACTGCATATACTAGCAATATTGATTTTTTTCCCCCCGTTTCTATAAATAACATTGAAAAGTGGACAACTACCTTGTATTCGGGATAATTTCTAATTAGTAAAATGTCATTCTATACATTTCCCATTGAAACTGTCACACACAACACCCTGAAATATTCAGTTATACCAGGTATAACTTCAAAAGTTACGGTTTTCTCCAGCTGCTTGGAGGAGTAGAGCAGTTGTTTCCTTCCTGTTGCGCACTGCTGGTCAGCTGGCTGAGTGAAGACTGCCACATTTTCTTTTTTCCTCTCTCAAGGAAGAGAAAGTCAGATATTTGGACATGTTTTCATTTATTAAAAACATGAATGGTCACAGTGAGGAAGCTAAAAGAGAATCGCCTAATAAAGTCATGTACATTTTTGGTTGATTTCTTTAAAAATAACATAATACAGCGGTGATTTCACTCAGCGCTGTTAGAATTTTAATACACCACCCCATGCCTAAATGCTTCATTTACAGCACATGTAATTGCACAACAACCTTCTTTCTTTAATGTCTGGCATTACGTTGCTTTGACCCTTTAGTGGATGAACTGACGAGAGACATCCACCGACACACCAGACAAACACACCGAAAAGCGAAGAACATTTTAAATACAAAGAACTACTTTGACATAGAAACATGTATTAAAAAAAAGGAGAAGAAATCAAACTTTTGCATACAAAATAAAAGATTTTTTTTAAAGGTAAAGCCGAACAATCTCGTACATTTTTCAAAGATTTGCTTTTGTGCAAAAAACAATCACAGACAAGAGCAAGGCCTCAAGATTTGTTATCAGCGACATGTTTTTCCCTCTAAAGTATTTTCCTCTTGTTTCATTTGATGCGGAAAAATGTTTCAACCTCCTTGTGAGTAAAACTGGGATGAAGCGACGTGGAACCAAGTCTGGTTTGTATCCTGAAGTCTGCTGTGTATTAAAGACGGCTTGTTTGTGTGAGAACAAAAGGCACTGGCCTTTAACAGAGACTATTTTAATATGTCCAATGGCTCCAGTGGTGGGGGAGGATCCCGGTCAGACCTGACAGGCCCAAACATGTCGTGACGGCCTGCTGGGAACGTCTGGCGGAGAATAACCACCTCGGGCTCACGAGGTGGTTAAAAAACTCAGGCATCTGGTCAGGATGCCTCCTGGACGCCTCCCCGGTGAGGTGTCACGAGCACGTCCCACCGGGAGGAGGGCCAGGGGAAGACACTGCGTCTCTCGGCTGGAGGGACATTGTGTCTCTCGTTGCCTGGGGAACGCCTTGGGGTTTCCCCGGAGGAGCTGGAAGAAGTGGCTGGAGAGAGGGAAGTCTGGGCCTGCCTTCTGAAGCTGCGACCCCCACGACCCGACCCCGGATAAAGTGGAAGAAAATGTCCAATAAAATTCTTATTTTGTTTTAAATATGTATCCCTAAAAAAAATTTTTTTTAAAGAAAAATGTCCAGTGCAGCTCCTTTTTAAAGCTTCACACTGATAACCACTGTATTGACGAGAAGTTGGATCAGAGGAAAGTGAGCAGCCCAGCATCTCTTTAAATGTATAATGTAAACAATGTCACTTTATGCATAAATAACAACCAAATAAATAATAGCTAAAAAACAACAAATCACAGACCAACAAGATTGGGAGCCTTAAAGCAGAACTTATATGACGGTTCAGTCTGATGTTATTTAGGTGGATGAAAAACAAAGGATGGAAGTTCAGAAGCTGAAGGAAGCTCGTTTCTGCTACTTGGAAGAAAAGAAACAACACTAAGGCATAGTTATGAGATGAAAAGTCATAAATGAGTTTCAAAGTCCCTGTACTTATGAAAATCAAAGTCATAAAGCACATTCTCATCATTTCCAAACCTCCAAAGTCAAAATTGTGACGTTGAAACTCATAACGTCACTCATAACCCAAAGCAGTTTTCACCCATTTCATGGGGTTCTACAGTAAGTGGCTTTAAAAGGTAAGTTTATTTTATTACTAAAGCAATACTATTTGAGATATCAAAACTAATTATTGAATGCATTGACACACAAAAAAAACAAACATGTTGAATTGTTTTTCTTTTGTTTTACATCCATTTGAACAGATTGACTGCTTTAATTCAAATTCAAACTTATCTGGACAGGAAGAATTGCTTTTGGTGTCGCTTTAAAGCAGATTGACCATTTGGGGGATGCTGCCTGCTGAGCTCCAAATAAACTACAGAATACAGACTGCTGCAGGAACAGGAAGAAACTCGCTGGAACGTAGACAGACGAAAATGACACACAGAGAGAGAAAGTCAGAGTGAGCGCTGTTATGTCAAGCTGCAACTTTGTGGCAAAACATGATTGACATGCACTTCAGTTCATTCACCAAACATAGCTCTGCGAGTCCTCTGCTGTTTGTGCCGAGTGAAAGTAGCACGAGGAAGATATTCGATTGAGAAACTCCTTGTTTCATAAAGTCTGCTGTCAAAGTGCAACGGTGGCTGTTACTTGTGCGGAGAAACAGAAGAACTGGTCGTCGGCTGCTCTCGGGCGAGGGTGTTGTGCGCTTGTGCGTCGCTTGTTGAGGCCGTTATGTGAGGTCACCGGGGCCTGCTCTGTGACATGAAGAGCAGGACTTTGCGGATGCCGCTGAGGCGATCTTTCAGGGAGGTGAGGGCCAGGAACGGCAGCTGGGCCCGGCCCTCTAACGGGAGAACAGCCAGTAGCCACCAGCACCAGGAGGGGCCGTTGGGGCTGGCCTGCAGGGAGAACAGAGACAATCAGTTTGAAATCGGATGACAATGATTTTGACACATTTTTCATTTAACCACTTATTTTATACATTAAAATAAGAAAAACATTTCATTACCTATAATGCATTCACATAGCATTTATTTAGTAAGCACTCAATCATTTGTATGCATCTGTGGCCAAAAACGTACTTTCAGCATCAACGTGTGAAAAGCTCAGCCAATTCTAATAATTGGATAGAAAATTAATAATAATAGGAGATTAAAAAAAAAAAAAACCTAAAAAGAACCAGGACATTTGAGTAGTTCTGGGTAAAACATATTTAAAAACAAAGTAGGATTTTTAATTATAAATGCTAAATTCATATATTTTTATGTAACTTTGTATTTTACATCAGGCACTTTGTTGGGCCACTAAGAGGGTCTTTAGGACTGTTAGCCTTTCCCAGCAGTTACTTTTCTGTTTCATTGATACCTGTCAGTTTGTGATAAAGGTGAGTTAAAACGACTCGTTAACGATCGTTAATTATCACTTTCATAGCAAATGAGGGTTTTTGGTGCCAATTTTAGCTAATGTTACTTTGTAACTAGTTTATTTAATGTTTTTTCATTTCTGCTTTAATATGAGCAAGGGTTACCCTTGTGTCAGTGTTCGATGTTAACAGGCTAGCCTTTTAGCAATTATTTTTTCAGTTGAAGTTGGGTTTAAGTTAGCAATAGCTTATAAATGTAGTGCACCTTCTACTTCATATTGTCTATTTCAGCTGACAGAATCAAACAGAAAAAAGGAAAAGGTCAGAAAACAGACAGTCCATGTCAATGGAATGGACTTTTGAGATTGACTGTAAATACTGTGTTGAGTATTACAAACTAGCGGTCCTCCTGTGTCTAGCCTCGCTCTCCAACCATGAGGTGCTGATGAGGTGTTCCAGCAAATCCTCACAAGGCAACATACAATCCTACCTCCATGAAATACTCGTCTTCACTAGGATGCTGGGTTCATCCCAAAAAAAAGTGTGTTTATACCTGGAGTTCGGGGTCTTTCTTAGGCATTGGTCCAAAGTGTCCTTCGATGCGTTGCTTCTGCTCAGCTTTCAGAGAGTTGACCCAGACCAGAGCCTGGTCGTACACTGTGTCATGTAGCGACTGCAGCTCACGCTCCGCTATGCCCTCCACCTGCAAATACATGAAAGGCACAACTTAGATCTTTAACCTCCTTTTTTAGGTCTGTCTGAAGCTCCTTCCCTCTCAGTTCTCATCCCACCTTCACATCCTCCAGATACTCCACGTCTGCCGTGTTGTATCCATCCCTCTCGCGGTGCTGAATGATTTTAAACCTCCGTCTGCCGATCGTGTCCACCACTGATCGGCCGTCCGAGAAGAACTTGACGTCGCGGATCTCCAGCAGACACCCGTACCCGACGAATCTGTGGGCAAAAGGGAAGATGTGTTGTGTTTTAGTCGCCAATTTTAATTTCAAGAAGCGCCAAGAAGACATGCTGCCTCTGCCACTAACCCTTTGAGGTCGTCTCCCAGACACATGCCGAAGCAGTTGGTTCCCGTCTCCATGCACCTGCGAATCATCAGTCGGTAGCAGGGCTCAAAGATGTGGAGGGGACACGGCACGGTGGGGAAGGCCATGGTGCACACAAATATAGGCACGCTTTTATTGAGGCTAAACCAAAACAGGAAGACGAGACGATAAATTCAGTTAAAAAGTCAAGAAGAAAGCGGAGAGAAGAGGAGTAGAGGGTGATCACTGACGTACTTGGAGAGCTCAGCCATCTCCTCCTCATGTATTTTCTGTCTCTCAATGAACTCGGAGGGAAGATACTTCGAGATCAGGTTCTCCATTAACACCGTCTTACAGTACTGCCTCTGGACCAAGTACTGGATGGAAACACAGAAGGAGAATTGATGAATCAGAGGAAGCAGAGGCAGACATTGGGAGAAATGTCATATATGTGACGCAGCGCACACCTCAGACAACTCTTCTTTGCACAGTGGACACTTTGGACTGTGGTCGAGGCATCTCTCCAGGCACTGAAGACAGAAAGTGTGCCCGCATGGCGTTGTCACCGGCTCGTAGAACAGCCTGGACAGGAGACACACCCAAAACCCAATTAACTTATTTTCCAGATAGTTTTCTTGTGACTGGCGTGGAATAGTAAAAGACGCATTTGATAGGCTGACCTCATACAGAGGGAACACTCCAGATCTGTTGGGTCCAAGAAGTCACTGGACACGGCGTCTAAAGAATCTAGGCCCTGGTTTGGTTCTACAAGGAGATACAATCAGATGGTGAACAACACACCCTCCCATAGGAGAAATAGCACGATTGTGCTAGGGTGGTAAACTCACCACACTTGGATTTCTTCTGGTGGCTGATTTCTTCCTGTGGTTTCGCCTCTTCTTCCACGTCTCTTCGTTTTCGTTTAAGGACATTTGTGTCAGTTTCTCTGAGACTCCTGTTGGACCTCCCAGCTGCTGATGGAGGAAGCTCTGTAAACAGCAACCCAGGACTGACGGTCTAAAAATGGAAAGAGCAGTAGAACAAGAGTCCATGAAGGAAGTGGGAGAAAGAAAAGATGTCAGGCTGATTTCGGAGGAGGAGCTCCCTTACCTGGATGGGTTCAGTGATGCTGCTTTTGATGTGTGCTCTGGAAGACAGGAAGTTGGCGCAGCCAGAGATGTGTTCAGGCACCTGATGGACGACTGGAGCCAGGAAGTCACTTAGAAGCTGTGAGGTGACAGAGAAGCAGTGTTCAAGTGACTACTTTGTTGTAAATCCCTACAGATTCATACTGATGAAGACAAATTCTTAAAATTGAAGTAAGGCCCTTACAGGATTGCCCGTTGGCACTTGTATGTACCCATGGGTCAGTTAAAATACCATACTGTTTAAGAATGTGAGGACCATCTTATGTCAGAGGGGATTTAATTGTGTGTCTTGTATTTTTTTATTTTTTTTATTTTGTTGTTCTTGTGTGATGTTTGTACTAGTATGTATTCCTTATTGCCTATGTTAGATCATTTGATGTCTCATCTTTTGTCAAGTTATAATGCAGAAGATATATGTCGGTAAGAGACAGATGAATGCATCTGTGGACATGTGTTGTTAAAAATAAATAAAAATAAAGTTTAAAAAAAATTTGAAGTAAGGCTGCAATTAACAATTATTTTAGAAGCCGATTATTCTATCGATAATTCAATTAATCAGCTTTGTTTTTAAATGGCACATTCTGCAGATGTTTTTTTAAGTCACCACTTCTATCTTTTACATAACCATTAGAAATGTGTTAAAAGATGTAAATAAACAAATAATTCCATTCTTTTCTCTTAAATGTTTATATGTTTGATGCAGTTTTGGCTTTATTTCTCCTTTGCACGTGTTTTTTTTGTTTCAGAAAATGACTTTTTGTTTTGAGTCACTATATTCTATTGAACAATTATTCGATAATAAAATTTGTTTGCATTTATTTCAGTATTCGGTCGTGGTTAATCCAATTAATCATTTCATCCCTACAGTAAAGCCATGTTGAAGTGATCAAAGATATGCTTACCTTGTGAGCTTCAGCCTTAGCCAGTCTACAGTCCGGCTCTAAGGACAGACAGATCAGGTACTCCTTCAGAGCATCATCAGTCCTGCCCAATGACACCAAGGCCTGGGCCTTACGAACGTGACCCTGTCGCCACGGAGACAGTCCATCACTTTCCATTCCAACTGTGATGAAATGACGCCAAACAAGAAAGACGTGGGTCTTACCTTGGACCAGAAGGGCATCAGTCTGCAGGCCGTCTCTGCGTCCCTCAGAGCCCAGTCATGGTGCTTCAGACTGGAGTGGATCTGAGAGCGGTTGCTAAACAGGATGTGGTCTGTGGGTGCTGTGAGACAAACACAAATTAGAGATGAGGATGATTTTTATTGCTCTGTTAGTTGAATAACTGTCAGGCAACAAAATGCCATGTTTGACGGAAACATACATTTTCGAGGTCAGAAATATTGGGAGACAGGCAAAAATGTTCAGGGACGTTTCATAGTAGATGGGAGCAATACACTACTTATATCTCACTTGTTCAATTAAAGAAGCCAGACCATCCAGGTGAGACCAAAACGTAGCCGTTTAGCTGCATGTTAACGGCTACGAATGGCAGAAAATCTGTGATAAAAATTGATCAAACTAGATATTAGAGCTACAAGTAACAATTATTTTATTAGTTGAATAATAAATTGCCACATCCTGCAAATAACAGTTATGGCTTAATTATTGCTCTGAGTGTGTTGTTCTTTCAGCAACTGGCCCTTTTTGGGAGTATGTATACTCCAATTAACACTTAACTAATTACTAAATTAGTTTATGATTATTTCAATAATCGATTGATCACAGTGAATCATCTCACCTCTTCTAGGTACAGAACAAACCTTGCAGAAAACCTGTAGGTTGTTGCAAAAGACTTGATGAACTGGGCGGCAATCAATGCAGTGGCCCAGTCAAAGTCCAAGCCTTTGACCTGCATGTTGCAGTTCACAGACGTTTTCCAACTCACTTTGACTGAGCAAACTAGAGCTGGCAAACATTCATTAAGCTGGTAGAGGATGGTTGTATAAATTATTTACTCAGGTGGGGTGAACGCAAAAGCACACCACACTTTTCAGATTTTATTTGCAAAAACAACGATGAGTCGTTTTCTTTTTAATTGCATTTTCAACTCTTCTAACTTCTAACGCACCAAAGGATTTCTGTTCTTCACATGAGGCTAATTGCTTATGTGAAGTGTGAACCGTTGTTACACTTAAAGCTTTAATTGAAAATCATAGATGCTCCATGGTTATGTGACAGAAGGGTATCCTACAAAAAAATGGACCAGCTTCCACGTTCCAGAATGTGTTATGAAAAAGGACTGCTGCCTTACAAAACCATGCACCATTATCAAGGTCACCCATATTGCAGGTTTCATAACTATAAGAACTTATGCAAATGTTGCAGCCGGGCCCTGCGAGAATCACAGCGAAGCGCTCTCCGCCTCGCATATTAATTTGCTCACACCAATAAGATTTGAAAAGGCCCACGGGGGATTATTTATACATGCAATTCTGTCCAAGTAGGACATACGACATATTGATTAGCGGTGAAGGAACTTTGCAGACATGTGCTAATGAGAAGTAGGAGGCCAACTTTACAAGTCTTTTTTCGTGATGATTGCATTATAAACTATGAGTCACACAACGGGGAAGATAATCTGAAAAACAGGTAGGATGTGGGGCTGCAGCTAGCAATTATTTTACTAATCATTTATTCCACCAATTATTCTGATGTTTGAGTTATTAGTTTTTAAAATGCCATAATCTGCAGATTTTTCCATTTAGTCAGGCTTATTTTTGTAAAATAGTTAAAATATGCAAGTAAACTAATAATTCCTTTTTCGAAATAAGAAAATAAAAATGTTACCTAAAACGCATGTCCTTTCTCATATGTAATAAAAGATGCATCTGCAGCTAAAAGACACTTTTTTATGCCTTTTTTGCTTCACCTACCATCAGTACAGTGTAAGGCTGATCTGTTGCCTATTCTTTTTTTTTAATTCATCAATTAATAATTGGACAGAAAAAGGTGATTAATAAGAGAGTTTCATCTCATAATGAAGTGGCAGTTTTAGCTAAAGCTACTACAGTAGTTGACACTTATTTCAATAATCGATTGATCATGATTAATCCAACCATTTTCACTCTAGTGGCATATGGATAAATAGGCTGTAATTGAGTCTGTTGTTTTATTCCTTGTTAATGCTAGACATGCCCATTTCTTTTGAAACTTTGATTTATGCTGACATCTGATTCCCCGACTGGTTAATGGCCTCAACGACGCTGGTGTCTTCCCACCTTAATGTCTCTCCTCCTGAGCATCTCACACCATTCTGTCCTGGTATCCCACTGACATCTAAACTCCACATTTGTTCTTCACAAAACAAGTACTTCAGCCTACATGGAAAACCTTCCGTTTGCAATCTTATGTAATATTTCCTGGGAAACAACTGTGGTCCAGGCTTGGATTATTCTCTCCCGAAGACGACGCTTGATCATATGAACAACAGGCTGGAAAATGTGATTTATTTAGGCTAAACGTTAAATCTGCGTCTGTCCGAGCAGGGAGCTGCACGCTTTAGTGCTGGGAACCCAGAAGTCAAAGGTTGAACGTCTTAAAACTAAGCTGCGACTTCAGTGGAATCCATATTGGTTACACATGTTATTAGAGATATACTTATTTTTCTTTCTTTCTTTTACTATTTTACTCTCCAATGATCTTTGTAAATCAACAAGGAAAATAAATATAGAACAAAACTGGAGAAGAGGTTATCCTAAAAACAAATAATTATTTTATTCAATCAGATTTGGATTTGACTTCTTATAAAAATGTTTAACTACGGTGTATCAGGTGGCTGAGCAGTAGAGCAAGTGCTTATCTTTTTCTCTGCCCTTCTTTTTGTCAAAGTTTATTAGTGGAGCAGTGATCCCCCATTACCGTTTGACTTTCACATGACCTCATAGTGAAAGAAAAACTCCCAAAAATAAAATGTGGTCTCAACACAACTTTGCCTCCAACTCCAAGAATACCTTCTATTCTTGCAGTGTGTCTTATCACTTGAAATCCTGATAAGACACACTGAGGTTCAAGGCTGTAAAAGGACAAAATGTGCCAAGCTTCGAGGACAACTAATGCATGTATCTGCGAGAGGAAATACAGGAGTGATGCATGCAATTAGACTCACATTACTGAGCCAGATATCAGCTTACACAAGCATGCCGCTGGTAGCTAAATGAGGTCAGGGCATGCTGCCCAGTCACAGCGGACCTTTGCTTACAATAAAAACATACCTGTTGATACTGAAATTGTGTTACTAGGTCACAGTTCAACTGTATGATTATAAAACGCTAAAAAAAACGAAGCAAAAAAATAAAATAAAAAGGGTTGTTTTATTTATATATCTGAATTCAAATTAGAGCGCAACAGAATGAACTGAACATTTACATATAAAGTTTCCACTTCATGTTTCACTAACGTGACCTGCAGTGGTACCCTTGACCTATATTTACTGTCTCATTGTTTCACGTTACACAATGAGTGAGGCGGGCTGCGTGCTGACGTAATGTTTGGTCCACTGGCCCAGCCTACATAACCGTGTTATCCAACACATGGCGGCCGCTGCCCTCAGAGGCCGGAGAGCCGCGGTCTGCCGCTCACTCCGTGACACACTTTCTGAGCCAACGACGGAGTGTTTTATAACGCCACACAGCGTGAATAAACACAAGTTAAAGAGCTCAAACTTGGTCGAGACTAGTACCTGTCAGTATGGCTTGGTTGTACTTCTCAAGCGCCGCTTCCATCTTCCTCTCGGCGTACAGCCCGTTCCCCTCCCGCCGCAGCCGGCCGGCCTGCTGGAAGCTGGGGAACCACTTGGCCAGCAGGCTGCTGAGCACCACGTTCACCCTATAAGTCTGGAGGCCGGCCAGACTGGAGCTGTCCCTGCACTCCCGACACGCCACCGGCCGCTCCTTCTCCTTCCTCTCCCTCTCCAGACACTTCTTGCAGAAGCAGTGTCCGCACGGCAGAGTCACCGGCTCGAACAGGAAGCTCAGGCAAATCCCGCAGGAGAAGTCCTCAAACCCGGAGCCCGTCCTCCAGCGGCCCCCGCCCCAGTCCTGTCTCCGGATACTGTCCGACAGGTACCCGACGAGGTTGGACAGGTGAGCGGGTTTGAGTTTGTCTATCTCGGAGGCTTGTCGGTACACCTCGAAAGCTTCCGCCACTTTGCCCCCGAAGGCGAGCGCGTCAGCCCGCTTCACCATCAGCTCCAGCCGGCTCCCGGGGTCCCCGGCACGCGCCAGCTGGCACCCGTAAATATCCGCCGCCAGCTCGAAGTTGTTCGCCCGGAAAGCTTCCGCTGCCAGATGCAGCATGCTCTCACACTCGGTCCCCATTCGGAGCGCGTCTCCTGGAAGTCTCCCCGCTCTTCATGAAGTGCTCGCTGATGCCATTCAGCCTCCAGCTCCTCTGAAGTTCAGACTGCTCTGAAATGTTGGCGGTCAAGTCCAGGAAACACATAACCCTCAGCGGCGCGAGGAGAGAGAGAGAGAAAAAAACTGTTACGTAAAACAAATGGGTCACGTGACGCCGAGCAGCTGTTCTGATTGGACGAGTCGAGAAAAAAAACAGTTACAAAACAAACCCGCATGTAACAGTTTCTCTCTGCCGGGGCAGTCGAGCAGGTCCTCTAGGAGCCTGTCTGACCTGCATTCAGGATATCAGTGAGCAGAGACGGGCTGCAGGTGTGTGTGTGTGTGTGTGTGTGTGTGTGTGTGTGTGTGTGTGTGTGTGTGTGTGTGTGTGTGTGTGTGTGTGTGTGTGTGTGTGTGTTGGGTGTTGGGTGGGGGAATAAATATGATTAATTCTCTCTTGTATGATATATAATGCAGACGCATTATATATCATATAATGATTATATATATTATATATATTTGATATTATATATCAAAATGTCATGTAACAAAATGTTACATGACATTTTGTCATGTAACAACCATAAACTTTTTATGACAAACACAATGTAGAGCAAAGTGTGAAGCGGAAGGAAATGGACCAGCAGGGACATCTGAAAACTGTGACATGCTTCCAAGTCAATACCTTAAAGATTATTTGCTACTTTTATAGGTGTCTGTTTCTCTACACGCTTCACACATGTTGAGATTAAGAATTTGTCCCTTCCTGTTTTCAAGGAGTGAGACTAATTGGAGACAGTATGTGAAATTTTCAAACTTTCACACAGAGTTTTAGTTAGATTTGCCTGGACTTTGACGGAGCCATTCACACATAAGAATATTGCATGGCTAAAGTCTTCCATTGTCAATTGGACTTGTGCAGACCAGTGGTGTCCAAACTGGAAAATTTAAACTGCTCACAAAGTTTATTAAATTAAAAATCCAGAAATGTGTTTATTGTGATTTTTCTTTTTTTATTATTAAGTTTTACCTGCTCAAAAATAACCTTTTTATGATATCTATAAATTCTTGTACACTTATTTATGAGGAAAAATACCCCCAAAGCTTGAGGCTGCCATTATGTTTCACCATAAGGGTGTAATATTCAGAATAACATTCTGGGTAATTTTGACCATACTGAGGTGTTGGTTGCCGATTACGATGTCTGATACGTAAGGGATGTGATAAGGGAATTAAAGCTGGAGCAAATGCTGAATTCTCAAAATCAGACAGAGGCCGAGAAGCGCAGGTGGTTTTATAACTGGAACGGCTCACTGGCGCTCTGAAGTGCAGCCAGTCTTTGTTGCATAAAAACTGTTTGCATAATTACAAAAAAAATGCTCACTCTATGTGACATCTTACTTAACAAGCACAGTTCTGAATCTAGCTCAGTGGAAGTTTCCAAGGGGATTTTTGCTGTTGCACATCTAACCTATCGCCTCTGTACCTTTATTGCTCACGATTGAATGCAAATCCTGAAATTCTACAACAGCTTCATAACATCAGAGTTGAGCTGAAGGGAATTTGTAGATACTATCCAACACTGTCTAAGTAGCTTCTCCTTTAACCAGTCAGTGGTACTTACTGCAGTCCCCAAATAAAGCCTTTCTGCTGAAGAGACTTCAGATGTGTGTGTGTGTGTGTGTGTGTGTGTGTGTGTGTGTGTGTGTGTGTGTGTGTGTGGTGTGTGTGTGTGTGTGTGTGTGTGTGTGAGAGTGTGGATTACATGTGCCGATCGGTCCACCGGAGCCCGTCTCAGTAACTGTTGGTAATATAGGTCGGCCGGTCTGGCCCGTGAACTCAATCCCACGCACAGACAGGAACGCCGACTGACATATAACGACAGACTGACTCACATGGAGAAACAGACAGACTGGCATATGTGCAAAAGAGGACACTTACAGAATCTTATGTAACACACACACATACACCCAAATGGTCAGACATGTACTTTACGCCCTCAGAGATCCTGCCCTCACACCTACAAGTTGATCAGTGTGAGGTTTTTGAATGTAGGGCAAACTGACACAGACTGTCTGACCTTTGCAGACTGGGTTGGAACAACCGGCTATCGACAAAGTCAGACCATTGCACAAGGTCTAACAGATGGATGCTCTTGCTCAGGATTTTAAGGCTTCTTCTATATGTGTCAAGTGCTAGGTTAGAGATTTGTTCAGGACTGTTCATTACAACTCATCCTGCAAATACAAAGGAATACCTCACTATTTTAGTCATTGGGCTTTATTTATATTTTGAACTCTAGTGTGCTGTGGAAAAGTTTACTCCTCCGATAAACTAGGGGAATAATTATGAAGTGGAAAGTAGAGGACGTGTTTTAAGCTTTTTATTTTTTATGAATTAAATCTAAGAAGTGTGATGTGCACTTCTGAGTAAAAATGCCACCTTTATGCCTCTTTGCACATCTAAGAACTGACAATTATTTAAAAAAGAAAGAAAAAAAAAAGCTAAAGTTCAGTTAGAGGGTGTGGAAAATGTCTGTGAACTGAACCAGACTTTAGAAAGAAATTAAAGGGGCAGTGCTCCAAGTTTTTACATGAAAGATGTTATTCTCTCACCAAAAACATTCCTGGAGTTGCTTTGATACTTTATGCATATTTGATAAGTCGTTTAATCTCTCCTGACAACCATTTAGCAGTGCAAAATACCTAGTTGGATCTAGAGCAGACCTACTCAGCTCCTTCAGACTAGCCTCCAGCAATTATTAAACCCCCTCTGGAATCGGCTGAGCTTCATAAATAGTTTGAGATTTTGTACTACGACAGAGTCTTTAATCATTAATCATGCTACTAGTGAAATTATAACTATCTAAGGTATTGGATGGTTAGGAAAATAAAGTTCAAGGGAATAAAACTATATATATATATTTAAAAAGAAAAAAGAAAATATGCAAGTAAAAGATTTTTTTTGTTCCTGTGAGATTTAAATGTTATATATTAAGACAAAAAAATTTTCAGTTTATTGTTACAAGCATGTTCAGTCTCAGGCATCTTACATGTATTTTAGTCAACAACAAGGTGAGTTTCTTGACTTGGATTTTGGCACAACACAAGAGCTGTCTCTAACCACCAACAGCGTTCATGTATATTTGTGGTTCATGTTCAGAAAAAAAAACACAAAAAGAGAAAACTTTCAGTATCATTTCAAATATTGGTCGTTCTTATAAAGAAGCTGTGGTGTGTTGGATGCCAACACAATCAGAGCAGAAACCTTTTTTTGTTTCCCTTCCTACACTGTGTTCAGACTTCCAGGTTCTTGTTTAAAGAGTCTCTGAGGACATTCGCTGGATCTCTTATCAGTCCTGGATCTTCAGGATGCTCCTTTTTTCCAAGTCGTTCATTTCTTTAAGAATCAAAGCGACGTTGTAACGCAGCTCCTGGAATTTTGACACGGGCACCTGTACAAAAAACAAAAAAATAAAGGAAATAAATAAATAAATCAAGAAGTGTCTGTGTAATCGGATGTTGTTGCTGTAATCTCATAGATCAATAGATCATGTTAGGGATCTAGTGTGTGAGCAGCCTCGATGCAGCTTCTGTTCTGTGATAACGAAGCCAAAACCAAACATGTAGTGTGGCGCCCTCTGCTGGCTGAAACCAAATAAATCAACAAGTCACTAATTTTATATCTTACCGCTTGCATACAAAATTATGAAAAACATTAAGAGCTTTATTGAAACCAAACTCCACTATTTTGAGTGACTGGCATTTTCTTCTGCTACTCGGTTTTTATGGAAACAAAAACAAAAAAAAAATCACATCAATGACAAGAGATGCAACGTTTGACTTTAGTATTTTCTGTAAAATCCATAACAGGTAGAATAGATAAGGAGAGAAAAACTATTGTTTTGGAGAGTATATATGCTGCACTAAGCAAATGTTCGTTCAGTTATTAGCCTGTGATCCCATTATGTAACAACAGACACAGGCTAACATTAGTTTGTTGGCACAAAGCCAGATTTCTTTAACTTCCAGGCTAAATTAAGTGCAGTGCAGAACCGACAATGCACATACAGACAACAGATGATCACTTTTTGCTTTCTGGGCAGCTGAATGCAACCTGGAATCGACTTATTTTTGCCACATTTCAGAAAATGAAAGCTGAAAAACAACAAACTTTAATCAAGACCTAATTTAAGACTGAAAAACCTCATTTGATTTGAACAGTTTGCGACTTTCAGGTCAAAATGTGACCTTTCACACCCATCTAACGTCTTGTCAGAAAATGTCCGTTGTATTTTAACAAAAAATAGAAGAGCAGAGTGTTTTGAGATGAATCATATGCCACTTAAAATCTTAGCACAACTAACTGAAGATGTTTTTTTTGGCCAAATTGACCAAAAAGTGGATTGCAAAGCTATTTGTATCCTTTGAACCTCCCCAAATTTTGTTTAACTTGATGCAAAAGTTTGCACTTTGCTTTATTGATCTTCTCAGATCACATTTTTGCTCCCTTTGCAAAAATATTGACAGTAAAAGAGAGAAAGTCCGTCTGAGTCACGTGACCTGCTCTGTGTTTTTGAGCCGCACCGCTAAAGCTATGCTGAAAGCAGCCGAAACGCGTGCGGTTAAATTTTAAAACATTCGCAAAGAGAGGCTGTAAGTCTATAAAGCAGGAGAAGAAGATTTTCTCCATGTTTTACCCGCACACGATTAACTGGAACCGAATACGTTGCCTGAAATGTAAAAAGCCAAATTATCAATGAGTCTTATCAAAATGTCAGAAAATGTCTGTTGTATTTTAACAAAAAATAGAAGAGCAGAGTGTTTTGAGATGAATAGGCTGACGTTAACTTAAAAACTCAAATAACTGCTCCGGTCAAGGATTAAAGTAGTTTTGGGTTTCTCGTGATAGTTTAGTTTTTATTTCATTGTGACTTTTTGTCTAATTAAGTTAGTTTTAATTAGTTCTTTAGAGTGTGTTTTATTAGTCATTATTAGTTAAATATTGCTTAGTTTTAGTTTTGTTTTTACTTGTTGCAGTAGTAGTTTTGGGTTTTTCATACTTTAGTGATGTTTTTTCTTTTTTAAGATGCAACATTTAAAAAGGTCCAAGTATTGTACCGTGATTATGTTTACATCAATTGGGTAATGAATACTCAACAGAACACGCCATAAAAAAAACCAAAGAAACAAAACATTAACTTATTGTTGAACAACCAGAGGAGTTTGATGTTTTCTCCCAACTTTTGCTGTCACCATTTTGCGGACAAGCAAAAAGGCTAGCAGGATTAGGAAATGATGTAATTTGCAGACAAAATAAGCAATTTAAAAGAACAACCAAGGTAGAAAGAGCCAAAAGGTTGAACTGTGCATTTATAATGTAGTTTAGTGTGATGTTGAAATAGAAACAGTACGAGTTATTTCGGTACCTCAAAGCGCTGGAATCTCCCATCCGACAGCTTCAGCTGCATCAGAATGGACGGCTGCAGGGCTCTGGCCAATGAGCTGGGGACACACACAGACACAGTTAAGTGATTCTATGCAGCTTTTGGCTCATTCGTTTCTGCTAAGTATTTGTCATCCTTAAATGTTTATACTTTGAGATTTCACCCACAGATGACAAAAGTTAGCTCACAGATTTGTTGTCGTTACCTTGTAGAAATGGAAACATCCACTCTCCATTTGAATTCCTCCAGCGTGGGGAGGTGAGGGTCATTCTGAGAGGAAGCCGCTTCCAGAGCCGCACGTCTGCAAACGCACAGAGGAGCGAGAGGGAAAAATGCGACTAAATTCTGACAATAAGGCCATCGGACTCAGAACTCAATGGTCTTCGGAAGGGGTGCAACCATTGCAGTTTTCTTGCAGATTATCGATCTATTAAAAATCCTCACCTGTCGATAACAATTTTGGCCGGTACCATTATTATTTTTTTTAATCTAAAATGTTGCCAAATGTAGCAAGAAAGTTGATGAGTTGCCAACAGTGAGATGACTATTGTTAACTGCAAACATATAGATCTGATGGGCCGATCTGCCAGTCAAACCTCTCTCAGCGCAGAGCGCAAAGATTTAAATATCTTTGCTGAAGTAGATAAGATCAATGGTTATGATCGGCTTCACATGTAAAAATTGTCCGATACGAGATTAAGGGAAATAGGCACCAATAAAATGGCTGTCCGATAAATCGGTGCATCCCTACTTTTTGGCCTATTCCAACGCGTCCTATTTGAAGGGTACAGTGTGAGAGCCAATGTGCAAACGTCTGAATCGAAACGCTGCGAAACCCACATACCGATTTCCAAAAACCACACTGGAGAAATCCGTGATGAAGTCTTCTGGTATTCTAAGGACAAAAAGAGTCTGTAAAAATCAGAAAACAGTTCAGCGACAGCTGGAGACGAGACGGCAGTCCTTACCTGAGCTCTCGCAGATCTTCCTTAAAGGCCTGAGCACAAAAACACACAAACAAAAAAGGTTCAGTTCATAAAAACTAGAAACATTCACCAAGTAAATTTTACATGTTAAGCTAGGGCTGGTCAGTAAATGCAGGAACATTGAGCTTTTTCTTATTTCATCACGTTAAAACCACTAAGTTTAAAGTATTTTTCGTTAATGCAGACCAACACAAAATGGTGCATCATTGCAAAAGTGGAAGGAATTGTGAAAAGTTGAAGCGCATTTACTTTGATGACCTTTAATATAATCCAGGAAAACTGGTGGGCTAAAGAAGGCAAATACTAAACAAGACCATGGAGACACTGGATAGTTCAGGGATGGAGCATGTGTTCAAACGCTGCAGTGAGCATTCAGGACACTTTAGTGGAGAACATCTCTCAGTCAAGTCAAAATAATTAATGAATCAGTGCTATCCATCAGGTTTGCCTGAGCCTGACAGGGTAAAATGTGCAGTCTTTAGATAGGCAAAGCTGACAAAGACAGTCTTTTGTGAAATCAATGCTACTTTTGAGCCGCCTTCTCACTTGAAATTCCAGTAAAAACATTTTATTGCTGTAATGAGATAAATCTGAAATAGTATGAATAGTATTGCAAGGCACTCTCCATACATTGTACAGTATATCATATAGAGGATTGGCACGTTCCACTGTTGCTCAGTCCCTGTCAAAAAAAAAAAGATAACTAATGAACTCAGACAACATGAAATTACACTTAAAATATTGCCACCGGCGATCGTTTCTGCAACATTTTTATAATGTTAAAGCCAAATACTTTTGATTTTTACTCAAAAAAAAATTATCACCCACAATTGGCTTGATTTCTATGCATCAAATAATCCATTGTGTGCATTCATTCCTAATCAAATGATGCAATTCTGTAGCAGTACGTAATCTTGTGTGGCATGTTTTCAGTGTGACTGAAGTTCAGTCCGTAACACTCGCCTCCTGTTTCAGTAGGGATGCTGGGATGCGGATGGCCTCTGAGAGAACTCTGTGCATCCCCGCGATGATGTGACTGAGCCTCTCTTGTGGGATGACGCTGCTTTCAGCAATTGACTTCATCAGCTCTCTGCCGTCTTTGCCCTCCAGAGCGCTGACCACAACTGGACACGGATCGACAAAAAGTCACTTGTGCTTTCTAAGTCAAGAGCCATACGTTGTGATGTTTCATTTAGCAGCGTGTGAAAACCACAGTTTTGTAGTAAAACATTATAAAGAGCATTTTTAGAAATCAACGTAAGAGCTACGTTGTTTTCAACTGCCTTTTATTCATTTACCTTTGAGGAGTTTTCTGAACAGTTCTTGATCCACATCCTTCAGGTTTTTCGACATTGACTCTATTTCCGGTGGTATTCTACCTCCCAAGAAGCTAGAGTCTTTTACGTTGCTTGAAGTCATGACTTAATGTGTTCTTATTGATTAAAAGAAAATACAGAATAAAAAGGAACAGAAGCACAGAGCTCGCTATTTTTTTAGGCCACCTAGTGTTTACGTGAAAACTTCCGGCTTTAGGTCACGTGAGGCAGCTTTTGCGTCTTCTCGCTCCCAGCGGAGTCTCGCGAGGACAGCTTAGTTCGTCGTAAGAAGAGAAAGGATTAGCAAATGGAGATGGCAATCATTGTCGCTGTTTGAACGCTGAAAGGTTGGCGTTTTGATGTTTGTCTAAGCTTTTATGTCAGCCAGTTCGGTTTGCTTGCGGTTTAAAATTATAATTTTTCAGGAACAAAGTTTTTTGTCTGAACTGTCGTCGTGTTGTTTGGTAAGCGCTACGTTGGCAAGTGAAGCATTAGCCTCCGGCTAACGGTGTTAGCGGGTGTTTTCGTTGTCATAGGCGTAACTCTGTTGTTAATTTAGCTTAAATAACGGTTAAAGGAAAGTTGCACCTTATTTAGAGAAGTTAGCTGATGTAATTTAGCATTTTTACTGAGTGGCGTGAAGGATGCCGATGTGAATGCTAGTGTAGCTTTACTGAGCATCAAAAACAATAACCAGTTTATAGACATTATTCTGTTCATTCTGTAAGCAATGAGCTGTGAATACAAAGTTAGAAGATTTAGTAATAGTGTAAAATATGATTCAAAAAGAGTTTTACTCCTGGTACTGGATGCAATAAAATCATCATTTTTGCTTACTGTGTCTTTTTTAGCCAGTGTATTAGATACTGTCCAGGTTTAAAACTAACTTTTAAACCTGGACAAATCATTTTCTTCTTCTTGACCAGTATTTGCATCGAGATTAAAAGTAAAAGTGATTAAAAAACAATAAAGAATTCATCAAAATATCCTTTATAACTAGTGACAAGCCTCTGGTGCTTTGCTAGAGTAAATATTGTCAAAATCAACTGGAGGTAAAATTATTACAAGACTACTCTCATTTTTATGTGATTTTTAATACGTTACGCAAATGAAGTGCAAGCTCTTTGGTTTATTGTATGGCGAGAGTTTCTAGTCATGATATGTTTACTAAATAGGAATAAAAGCATTTTTTCTCTGTATTTTTGACCTTTTATTTAGGTTTTTATTCTCTGATTGGTACCTCCCCCGCCCCAAAAAATTACCTAAATCTGTAAAAATTCCTGATCCTCCAATCAGCCACTTGGTCTTTTTAAAATGGTTCAGTCCCACATGCAATCAGAACAGGGCCGACCACCGGTGTCTTTGCAGCCAAAACGCGGTTTGCTCACGTTTATTTCGTTTGCATCAGGTGCAGAGCAGAAAGCCGGCCATGTCTGAATCTCTGTACGAGAAGTTTCTGGCCCCAGAGGAGCCGTTCCCGCTCCTCTCCCAAAGAGCCAACCTCAGCGATGTGGGAACTCTGGACGTCAGCGAGTTCAGCTGTCAGCTCTCATCTTGTCACAGAACAGACCCTCTACACCGTTTCCACAGCAACAGGTGAGGAGAAAGAGTATTTCTGTACGCGGAGACGTCTGGGCTGCCTACTAATCGCAGCATAATTTTAAATCACAGACCGGTCACATGATTACTAAGACAGTTCCAGCAGATAAAAATCTATGGTTTACAAGCATTCAACTAGGTCTCTATAGATATGCAATAAATCAATTAATCTTATGATGAATTAAATGGACATCAATTATTTCCATGTGTGATTTATTGTTTTTCTCTTTTCTCTCTTTCTATCAAAAACTGGATGACAAACGTCTTCAGTCTGGTGTTTTGGTCTCAACCAACTCCTTCTTTGAAGAACTATTTTGTCTACAGAGACTTTATAGTTGATTATAGTTGTTGTTTCTGCTGTTTTGTTTGGGTATTTAAAACGTCTTCCAGTTTCAGTGTTAAATGTTCATTAGAATTTAAAGTGTATTCATCTTTGAAAATGTGTTCTTGCATTATGCCATTACTAATTTATTGCTTAAAAATGAGCGCAAAACGACAATATTTTAGTTTATTCCAATAACTTCTGGGACAATTTATTGTCCAGGATGATTGGTTATCAGAACAGGCCTGGTTATGTTGAATCTGATTTTCAACAATGTGGAGAAAATGACAAAATTCTACAAATTCAACCAGAAAATTTTAGAAAACATCGACCATCGGACGGTGAGGCTTCACATCCATAGATTTCTTCAAGAAAGTTCTGCCTGATTCAAATACTGAACTTATTAAACAAACTATTGATAAATCTAAAAGAGCAATCTAGACAAGATGCTACTGCACAATTACAGGCCAATCTTTAAAACTCCATTCATCAGCAAGATCACTGAAGCTGCATCCCGGAGTCGGAACAAAACATGGCTAATCTGCAGCAAACTTCCAGAAACCGGCAAAGCTGCTGAAATACTGATTTACTTTCAAAAAACCTTTTTGTTTACATTTGCATTTCTTTAATTTCAACTGAACACAATAAATTGTTGCAACAATTGTTCCTTTTATTTTTACGCTGCTTTACTCGTTTGCTGTTTTATTTTCTTTTTAATCGTGCAAAACAACATAGAAATTAATGAGTTAAAATCGCATTTAATTTCCTAATGAGGTATTTTTGAATTTGAATTTGAAATGCCTTGTTTCAGAAAGTGTTATATAAAACAAAGCAGCTTTTCCCTTGAATTTAATCTAGAATTACCACAGTTTGTTTTTAATTAGAACGTAAACAAACCACAAAGTGATATTCAGCAGTGAGCCTCACACAGTAAATTATGTCTTAAATATAGCTTCAGTCATTCCAGTTGCACCCATTGGGTCAGCTTCTTTAAATTGAAATACTACAGTAACCACATAACATTCGCTGTTAAAAAGATGTTATATAAAAGTTTTCATGAAGTGGTTTATCACACGTACTTTGGTCAAAACTATTCTTTGGTTTGGCTGCTTCTTTTTTGTTGTTTTTTTTTTCAAGCAGACTTTGATCAAGATTTCTCCACATTATCTGTGGAATTATTTCTGATTCTCATAGTTTGTTGATTGGGACGTAAACAAACACAGGCAGAGAGTCCTGCTTTAGAGCCATCAATAAAAATCTTGTTACATAACATGCATGACATGTCAGTATGAGGTCATCTGGCGTTATTGGTTCTTGGGAAGAAAAGCTTTTATGATCAAAACCCAGTTGAGGGTCAAATTAGAGACACGATGACTAAGAATGAATCGCTTATTAAAATTGATGAAAAGGTTTCATCTATGGAGCTCCTGGGAGAAACTCCTGGCTTATAGGGACGAGCCAATGGGAGAGTAAATGTAGATTTTCTTCAGATGAGGAATTTAAAACGTTCTTTTATGTTGTTTTATTTGCTTCATTATTAGATGTTTGACAAAGGTACGTCTGTGCATGTCTGGAAATAAATTCGATCTGTTTCTCTTGCAAATAGGGCTGAATAACCGATCACTATAAAAGGGTTTCGAAGCGATCCATATCAATAATCATGGATTAGTTAAATATCTGAAACACAGCCAAACTGGTGGGGTTTCCTTTTTTATGCAGTTTTCCCTCCATGTTGTTTTTATTATTTTTAAGCAGTCGGGAGGAACGTTGGCGAAACCAGAAACCGCTGCTGCGCCAGTTACTCAACAGGTTGTTGCTAGGTAACCGTGAGTTAGTTGACACCTCCAACCTCAAGATGTCTCCCAGAAAACGTGACATGCTCAGTGGTTGGGCGCTAGGCCGTCATTCATCTAGCAGTCCATCGTGTTTTTGAGTCAAAACGTGTTTAAAGTTGACAGGAAATTTGAAAATATTACTTGGTAATCATGTCATTGAAAGATTGAAGATTAATACCTGAACATCAACTATAAAGGCTTCAAAATGCAAACATTTTAAAAAGGCTTAAATAAATAAACAATACTTAGCCTGGTGGGGCACAACTAAAGCCTGGTGCCCCGCCAGGCTTATCATACATTGTGGGAAACCCTGAACTTTGCTTAGTTAACAGGTTGAGCAGCTCAGGCCTTTCCTCTGCCTACATTTCCCAGAATGCTGTGTGGTTTTGGATTGGAGTTCAAGAAAATTAATTGATTGATAATCAGATGTATTATTGATCGATATTGATCATGATTCTAATGATTAACATGCCGTTTTTATGTTGTTGGACTTCTATAACTAAACTAATCAATAAAGCAATCAGTGAACCGATTTTCAAACTATTTGCGTCTCGTTTAGCATTATAAGCGCATACCTTACAGGAAGCTTGTTCCGTCAGAACCTGTGGCGCATTGTGACGGTCTGCTGGTTGCTCTGCAGGTGGAACCTGACTTCCTGTGGGACCAGCGTAGCCAGCTCAGAGTGCAGCGAGGAGCTCTTCTCCTCCGTGTCCGTCGGCGATCAGGACGACTGCTACTCCCTGCTGGACGACCAGGAACTGACGTCCCTGGATCTGTTTCCGGAGGGCAGCGTCTGCAGTGACGTCTCCTCCTCCATCAGCACGTACTGGGACTGGTCCGACAGCGAATTTGAGTGGCAGGTGGGCTTTCAGGAGGTCTCTGAGGGTCTCTGTATGTATGTTTTACATTTCTGAATGGGTCTTTTCGTTTTTCTCACCAGTTGCCGGGAAGCGACATCGCCAGCGGCAGCGACGTCCTCTCCGACATAATCCCAAGCGTGCCGAGTTCACCGTGTCTGTTCTCCAAGAGGAAACCGAAATCACACACCCACCGCAACCTGGACGAGCTGCCCTGGAGCGCCATGACCAACGATGAGCAAGTAGGAAAAGAAAAGCAAAACCGTTTCCCGTCGGTCAGAACAGAAAGCTAAACGTGCGGTTTGTGGGTCCCGTCCAGGTGGAGTACATAGAGTATTTGAGTCGGAAGGTGAGCACAGAGATGGGCCTGAGGGAGCAGCTGGACATCATCAAGATCATCGACCCGTGCGCTCAGATCTCTCCCACCGACAGCGAGTTCATCATCGAGCTCAACTGCCTCACCGACGAGAAGCTCAAACAGGTGAATGGCGCTCTGAAACACGACTCCCAAAAATACAAGTTTTAGAGGATTTAAAGCTTTTCAAAGTGCTTGGTTTCTTGATATTTTGTAATAAACTTCAATCAAACGTTTGATTCAAAGCGTAGGTTTGAAAAACATTTCTTTCAGATGGAATCAGTTAAAAAGACACATGCATCTTTTGTTCTTGCTATCTGAAGGTCAGTCAGGCTAAACTGTCCTTGTTGTAGGTTTGTTAGAATTATTACAATTATTTCTATTTGTTAATTGCCAGAAAACATAGCAAGAGTGTTTTTAGAGATGTTTTTGTAATTTTTTTGAAAATTGAATTGAAGGAATTTAATTTGATAAGGAAAGTCACTTAACTTAACCCAATTTGTTTGGATTGTTTCACTGCAATGAATGTTTCTTATTCCTAACGGATCAATGAGTAATTGATCTGTGTAACTGAAATAAATGATGACTTATATTTTTTATGTTAAAGTTATTGAAATTGGAAGATTTTATTAAATTAATTAATTTATTTTGGTCAAATTACAAACATTTCAAAACATAAACGCTACCAAAACAGTATTATTAATAAGAGTAGTACAGGATATCATGTAATAGTTCATTTGTGTTGTTTTCATCTCCAAAGTGCAGAGCTGGAAAAGTTTGAAAATAGTGATAGTGGGCTTGAGATTTTAATTGAAAGGCAGTTAAATGGAGACGTTTGAATCCGTTTCATTGCCAAGTCGTTCCATCAAGTTCTAACGTAATGCACAGAGAAGAATTTTTTTTTGTTTTCTTTTTTGCTGTTAAGTACAAAGTGACCTCAACACGCTCATCATTTTTCCCTGGTATCAGGTGCGGAGCTACATCAGGGAGCACAGCCCCCGGCTGAGAGCCAGCAGCACCAGGGAGGGCTGGAAGAGGAGCAGCCACAGCAGCGCCAGCACCGGGGGGGTGAGCGGCGTCAGCAGCAGCAGCAACGCCAGCATGGTCAGCTCCGCCAGCTCCTCCACGGGCTCCACGGCCTCCAACTCCATGGCCGGTGAGACCCAGAAACAAACACGGCCGACCTGAACTCTCAAAGTCTGGTTCCGGTTTTTCCTAAACAGATTTAACTCGACGGGTCAAAGCAGTTTCAGTCCGATTAGCGTTTGCGTCGTGTTCCAGGTGGCACGGCCTCAGCCTGCAGCGGGAGCAACATCAGCAGAGCTCACAGTGACGGAAACCTGTCGAGCGCCGCCGAACGCATCCGAGACTCTAAAGTATGAAACTTTTACTGGTTTTAAAAATGTTTGTTTTCCTAGTACTGGTGTCCCACCCCTCACAAGTTTTCACACTTTGTCATGTCGTACGCAAACCTAAAGGAGAGAGGAAGTGTGAAATGCAAGGAAAAGATTTCTATTGCAAATCAAAATCTGAAACGTACAATCTGAGTAAAAAACACCAGTCTGTGGTTTTCAGCAGTGCAACATGTGAGAAGGGGACAAACTGAATGTGACTGTTTGACTTCTAAAGGGTAACAGTTATCATAACATGTATAAAGTTAAAGTTCAACTAAGAAATCTGTCTCTGACAGAGATGAGATGGAGATATCTCAAAAACCAATTCATAAATATTTATTTATTTGATTTACTTTTTATGTAAAATAAAATCTTGGTGCACATGGGCATCTGCAACCTTAAAAAGTCTTATATTTATGTTTGTAAAATGGAGGCCTTAAAATGTCTTAAATTCAATAGAAATTTCAGTTGCCCTGAAATATGTTTCGTGGTAGAATTACTTACTCTTATATTCTATGTAGTTTATTTGTCTTGATGTTTCAGGCAAATGTTTGAGTCGCACACAGGCATCTTCAGAGCTTCTATAGACGCTTGAGGCTACGTGTAGGGTTGGGGTTAACCCTAGTATAGTTTATTAGCAGAAACCCTTGCTAGTGTTGAGAATATAAGTCTAGTTAGCATAACTATAGACTTATATTCTCAACCCTAGCTAGCTAATATTGAGTATAGCATGGGTTAGTGTAAATTTATCATCTCTCCGTTTCCACCTGTATGGTCCTAAATGCATTCTTGCTAAAAAGACAAGACAGCGAATAAATATTTGGTTTCTTGCCAAATATAAATTTCTGTCGTGCCACAGGTCTTAAATTCCATTCATAATGGCTCTGGAAGGGCCTTAAAAAGTCTTAAATTTGAGTTTGTAAAACCTGCAGAAAGCCTTTTACCAGCGGTGGACACTTATTTTGTTTATCATAAGAGTTTTTATTTGTTTTTCATACATTTGCTCTATTATTAAAGAACCCAGACTGACATTATTGGAATTATTTTCACTATTTTCTCCACTTTTCCAAAAATATCATTAAATCTGAAAATATGATTAAAGTTAATGTGTGCAGTTTAGTGACATAGATCACATAAAAATAGGTTAAAATAGGAACTTTTTTTCTACAAAATGTCTTGCTACAATTCTAAATCTATATTGAGGTTAGTTATGATTGCAGGGTTTCCCTCCAGAAAACTTGCTAACTTTCAAGTATTTATTTTATTTACCTCCTTGTTCCAGAAGCGATCAAAGCAGCGGAAGCTTCAGCAGAAAGCGCTCCGCAAGCGTCAGCTGAAGGAGCAGCGGCAGGCGCGTAAGGAGCGCCTGAGCGGCCTCTTCCTGAATGAGGAGGTGCTGTCGCTACGGGTGACGGAGGAGGACGACCACGGAGACGACCTGGACATACTGATGTGACACCAGTGAACCAATCAGTGCTCCCTCTAGGCCTGCAAGCTTTCCGCCTAACCTGACGCGTTTCGTCCCAGTTCGTGTGCTTGGCCGTGTTTCGCTTCCAGCTCGTCGTGCTAGCGCTTCCACTGCAACGCTGCTGACGCTTTGAGAAAATGCCAATCACGGTTTAGCCTGCTTAGCACCACAGGCTAGCTGACACACAGCTAGCAACAAGGGGACTGCTGCTTAGAAAAGCTGATGCTACTAGAACCACGACAGACAGGAGGGCAGATCAGGAATCACTGTTTTGTTTTGGGGGTGTTTTTTCTACAAAATGCTCCATGAAAACATTTCCATTATTTTTCTTTTCTTCAACATATTTTGAAGTTGCAGTATGTAACGTTTTAAATGTCTTTCACATGTTTGTTAAAACTGTCTCTGTGTCGTGACAGTGTGGTACGAGACGGATAATGTGTGAAAAATATCAAGCTCTGCCCACCATCTGCAAAAAAACAACCAATCAGAGGCCAGAGGAGGGTCTTATTGCTGTCAATTATGCTTGTGTATCCACTTGATGAATGTGTTAATGGCGGAAACTTTTTTAAATAGACTACATAGCATAAAAACATATGAACGTAATGGCAACAACCATTTTACATTTAACTTTTTTTATTTGACATAATATATCTTAAATATTCCCCACTGACTAATAATATACTTTGATTGACAGCACAAAGACCCTCCTCCTGATCCTGATTGGTTGTTTCTGAGTGGCGTATTTCTGCAGTTGGTACTGGGGAAACGGGCGGAAGAGTTACAATTTTTTTCACAGGTTATGCGTCTCACACCGTCACGACACTAACAGTTTTATCAAACGTAGAAATATTTTTATAAAGGTCACACACTTGCAGCTTTAAATCACGTCTTTAAATGACATGCTCGGGTTGCAGCAGCAAACGACACATTTCTGCACCGTGTTTTGTCGCATGTTTTGTGACTGCAGTCTGGGTTTGACTTGCTTACATGTGGGCGCCCTCTGCTTTCCATTTCGTTCAAGGCTTCATTCTGTTAGAGCTGAAAACAAACGGTTCTTCATTCCAGAGGTTTCAAAGGAAGTGAGCTGGTCTGTCTTTCTCTCTGCTGAGGCGCTGCAGCCTCATTTTCACCAAGGCTTAGAGGGAGCACTGAAACCCTGCATGTTTAAACCGCTCTCCCCCCATGGGCCGGGAATTGGTTCATTTTATATCCTACACTGACTAAAACGGCTCACGTTTCTTGTAAATAGTGACTCTAACATCCTGCTTTGGTGACGGCTTCAGCTCAGTTTGCTTTGGGTGAAGTTATTGTTTCTTAGAGCTTTGAGTCTTTATATTTGTCCCTTATTATGCTTATGTTGGCGTTCTTGTGGCGTTTCATCGCATTCTGAAACTCAGACGTTTGTTTTTGGGTGAGGGTCCTCAATGATTTGAGTCAAAAATGTCAGCAGACATGAAATCACATCCTGCTACTTTTCACATTTCAGCTCAACAAAATGTTGATGCGGCGCCACAAAAACAGCCTCTTTGGAAAACTGAAGCTACTGTTTTAATTTTTTCTAGATTTAGCCTCTTTGTGTTTAGATTTATATATGTATAATTTTTTTTTTTTGTTTGTTTCTCTCCGTTACATTGCGACTCTTTCACTCCTCCTGAGCCGTAAGGTGTTTGAACCGCTGCGGTTACCGGCACCAACGTCTGCTGTTTGTCATTTATTTGAAATATTTCTGTTCATATATATATAAAGATCTAAATTACAGCCGTTATGTTTCAAAAACAAGTTTATGTCTTCTGTAGCATTGAGAAATATTAAGATTCTATTTTGGAAATTTAAACAATTTTGAAAGAAATGTGATTTAAACTAAATAATTAAAAAAGAAGTGTGTGTTAATAAGGTACCAAGAACTGCTGAAAAATAAACAAGCTTACAATCAAAGTCTGAGTGGAGTGATGGTTTATTTGGTTTTTTAGTATTTTGAAAAAGTTGCATTCTTAGAAACAATTTTTTATTTTAAAAACTTTGGCAAAGTTATATGTAATGGTTGAATTAATTTTACATTGCACAACCCAGCACTTCAAAATGTGCAGAGTAGATGACAATAAGGAGTATTTTAATGTTTGTGATAATCAGTTTAAATGTGTTGTGAAAAGTCGCCCCAATACATTTGAAGGCTAAAACTCTTAATTTATTAGAGAGAAGGGACCTTGTGTCTTTATCAAAGCATGTCGGGTAAAATCTCCCAGGAGGCGTTTTTCTCTAGGAAAAACAACCTTACATTAAACCTCGTTGCTGCAGTTTCAGTAGGAGACGGTAGAGGGCAGCAGTGTTTCCGGGTGTCGATGCGGAAGTGGCGCAGTGCTCGTTTACCCCCAGCTGTGTTTTGTCGGTGTTCGTGTCCAGTCGTTTCCACTCCTCTGCAGTCGGAGCTGTCGTCGCGTTTCCGATGGGAGCTCACGGGCTTCTGGGGAACCAGCCGGACTCCATAGACTACTCGGTGCACGAAGCCTGGAACGAGGCCACAAACGTCTACCTGCTGGTCATCCTGGTCAGCTTCGGCCTGCTCATCTACGCCAGAAAGTAAGCGCCTCTTTCTGTTCATGGACCCACTTCTGTGTATCACTCCGCGCTGATCCCATTTTCCTTCATGTGCATAAAATCTATGTAAAAACTTCGATTATACTTTAGTGAGTTAGCTCTCCAAATATTTGTAGTATACTGATGACGTATGTCAATGTGTTTAACAGTAGAGTACGACATAATACATTTACCTGATATTGGTGTGTTTATTTTTGTTTTTAGTTATTTACACAAGAATAGCATTCAATATTGATATATTTTCTTAAATATTTAATGACGTAAAAGGGGCAGTGCTATGTAAAAGTAGGCTCTGTTTGAGCTACTTCTCATTGAAATGCTGATAAAAATGTTAAAGACCTTTAAAGGAGCAACATTGTGATATTGGTGACGACTTCCTGAAGGCGGAGTTTCGGAAAGACCAGAAGCTTCTTAAAGAGACAGGCCCAATTTCAAGACGGGAATTTGCAAAGTCAAATTTCTTTTAAATCATGTTTGATACAGTATTTAAAAAAAACAAACAAACTGAAGGTAACATAGTTACCTGATTGTGCTATAAAATGCCACTACGTGCCTTGAAAATACATAATACTGCCCCTTTAAACAGTAGACCTTATGATGCACAATATAATAGCTGTCAATGTGAAGAAAAAAAAAAAGAAATTGCTAAATTTTTGTTTGGAGGCAATTTATAACCAAACTTGTAAATGTAATTTGTGGTGCGTGGAGCCAAAGCTTTGGTGTCTTTAAAACGCTATGAAGGAATTTTTGTTGTTGTCATGATGCTGCTTATGTAAACCTGTTGTGATCCCGACTAGAAACAAGAGGAAGATCATGCGGATCTTCGCGCTGCCTCCCACCGCCGGCAGCAGCCCGGAGCCTAACTTCTACGACAGCCTGCAGAAGGTGCGGCTGCGGCAGCAGCTTGAGATGTACTCTCTGGGTGAGCCTTAAAAAGTCTTGCATCATCATGTGTCTGAAATTAAGACCTTAAAATGTCTTGAATTCCTTTTAAAAATGGAATTCAATTTGATTTGGTAATAACAAGGCTTCATTTTGCTGACAGAACTATTTGATGTATTTTTTTTTTTCTTCTTTCCCATGAGTCTTTTCTTTCATTCAAATATTTAAGAGTCGTACTCGGACATCTTCACTGTGGCTACGGCTAACTAGCTGCTAATACTTCTTTGCTAGCTTGTTTTTTTTTTTCTGCGCCTGTCACGGCTATGATGGTGCAAATTTATCGCTAGTTGGATGGACAAAGTTTGTATATTTCTGTGGAGATTTAGGTCTTAGATTTCATCCACAACGATGAGAAATCTGCCTTGGTAAAATCTGCAGAAACCCTGATAAATTAATTTAGTTTTAATTTGTATTTTTTCTGTTCTTAGAAACTTTTACCATTGAGTCAACCATGTATCTTTTCTCCAGCTAGGAAGTTTGAGCAGCAGCAGCAGCCGGACAGTGTGCAGCTCTCCATGGAATGAGGAACAGAGGTTTCGGCCCCTTCCCGCGAGTTCTGGACACAGATGGAGGTGGGCTTGGACTCCTGTCCGAATCAGAGGTGGTGCGCGCCGTCGGGGGCAGACAGCTGGATGGATGACTAGACATTAGCAGAGATTGAAGGTGTGCTGCATTTCTTCAGCCTGCAGCAGGGAGAGCGCCAATAAATGAAGGAGAGCGCAGAGGATTTAACGGACGTGAATGTTTTGTTTATCGTTGATGTTCGCACACATTTAAACCAGTGGTTGTTAAGGAAGGGGAAAGTGGAAGTGTGTTGTTTATTCATGCATAAATCCCAGATCATGATGCTGATGTGACGTCGGAGGATGAGCTCAAAGTCGTAATGGGAGCGTTCACCGTCGAACGTGTTTGGTGACCCAACAGTGGACTGTCCTGGAGAGATTCTCCACATCTGCATTTCATTTTGAGACTTTTGGTTGTAAAGACATTGTTCATATACACCAGGGGTGTCAAACTCCAGTCCTAACGGGCCAGTGTCCTGTAACTTTTAGATGTTCCCCTGCTGCACCACCACTGAATAGAATAAGTCACTATGGTTGTGGAGATCTGATCTACACAAGGAGGAGGTAATCAAGTGATTTCATTTCAGTGTTTTGTACCTGTGGCACATCTAAAAACTGCAGGACACCTGTGATATACACAGTCCCTAAAAATGTGCTCATCAGTCTCCCTACGATATATTTGAGATGGTGTGGACTCAAGTTTTAGAACATTAAAGCTGTGAAGACATTAAATATTACTCTGATGTACTGCTGGCTGCTGTGATTTTTATCACGCTCTACTATATTCACGATGCATCAACGTAAGGGAGTATCAGCATTTGAAGATCATTTCTCTTGAAGATAATTTCTCCTGAGGCAGATTGAGGCTTCTATCAGAACAATGATTTTAGTACATATGTATAGAAGCCCAAGTGTGTATTTTTGGCCGTATGTGGATTATAGGAAGTCTACACTCCAATTTAGACATGTCCACCTGGTCCTTGTTTTGTTTGGACCTAGTGGCCTTTATTTTGACAGTAATCCAACAGGAAGGAGATTGAAGAGGAAAGGGTGAAAAGATGAGCCAACAGAACCGTAGACGGATGTACAACCACAGCGCCACGCTCCCTGGTTCTTATTTAAAAAAGAAATGTTTAAGTTGTATATTATGCAATTTTACAACCTTTTACCAGTGCAGAAACCATGAATATTCTAAATGTCTGACCAGAGGTGTAACTTGGTAAAATAGTTCTGTGTGACGTCTAGCGGCTACATTACACAAATGTTTGATCTTTTCTCAAAAAGCAGCACACCACACCCAGATTTCAAGAAAAAGTCACAAACGTCTATAACTGCAAAAAGATTTCGACTTTGGGCAAAGAGCCTCTATCCACCCACAAGGTGGTGGTAAGTTGAAGTGCTGGTGCAGTTTTGCTACATCAGAATTTGCTAAAACTGATAGGAGCAGAAAATCCTTAGGGAGAAGCTTCACACAAATATACATTTAATGACTGGCTAGAACCCCACGTTAAAACATTTGTTTTTGATTGGAAGATGTTTAAAAAACGGTAAACAAAACAGTGAACCGTTCAAAGATGACTAAGTTGTTGGGGCAGAATTTATTTTGAGGGAAACATTCAGCAAACTGCTCTATGAATGTTCCAGGCGAGACCGGGAGGTTCCCTTTGTTTGACATTTCAACGGCTCGACCCGCGCGCCTGCTGATGACAGGAAGTGGATGTCGGCCCTACAATAGTAAACGCTCCTCTGATGGAGGAAACGGCGCGGCGATGAACAACACAATGAAACAGACGGCCGCCGTTCGCTCAAGGCAAAAACTCATCCGATTTAAGGCTCTCGTGTCGAGCACATTCAGTCTGGACTTCTCTCTGTGGGTCAAGTGTTTGAAATGGAAAATGTACAGCATCTTTAAAAACAAAACAACAATAGGTACACACATAAAGTTGATAGTTAATGCAGCGTAAACAATGCTTTGGTACATACTCCTCTTTGGAAAGTCGTCTTCCTGCGTTAGCTCGTTTGACCTTGGCATAATGGCTTTCTTTTTTTCTTTTTTTTTGAGAATATTTACAAAAAAGCTCCAGATGTTAATGGTGCAGAGTGGCTTCCCTTGCACTTCAACCCATAAGACGAATTGAGCGTCAAAAACAACGAGTTCTGAAACGGGAGAAATAGCAACTATGTACAGAAAACTGGCCGGCAGCCAGTAGCAATGAAAACACAAGAGGCAGCGTTAAAATCCAGCCCTTTGGTCGGAAGCGAACCAAATCCGTATATTTTAGAGGAAAGTTCAAGTGGCGAGAGCCACCGGCGTTCTCGCGTTGAAAGGCACCGTGCTTCACGAGTGGACAGAGCTCCGTCTGCGGGGACAGACGTCCAGGTCGTCCACTCGGAGCTGGCTGGCGTAGCGGGAGTCCCAGTCCCGGAGGAAGAGCTGCTCCGCCTGGCTGGCCAGCGTCTGCTGGCCCCGGTTTACGGCCGAGCCGGTCTGGTTCACCACCAGGCCCACGCCGGCCGTGTGCGTGAAGTAGTTCTGTGACCAGTTGGACGTGCCTGAGAACGGAAACGGGTTTCAGACAACGATGTACTTCATCCGAAGTTTCAAAATACGGATCAGTGTTTCTGTTGGCCGTATAAATTGTGCAAATTGGAATTATTAAAAAAAAAAAAGCCCAAAACATCTTTGAAAAGTTGTTGTGCTAAGATGAGTTTTTTTTGTGTGTGTGTGTGTGGCATATTTCACAACTCTGCAATAGAAACACTTTTTACCTCTGGAGTCCTGTGATCAGTAGCAACCCGATGTTACTGCTGGCAGAAAAGACGATAGAAAAGCGCAAATTTTGGAAAAACTCCAGTTTTTTGAGAAAAAGTTTTTGTGCTAATATGAGGCACAAAAACCTTTGGTCGGTTTTCAAGAAAAACCAAGGGAACTTCAGAGTTTGAAAAGTGGAACGTTTTCTAGAAAAAAACTCAGAATATTCTGAGATTCAAGAGTTGAAAATGTTCCAATTTGGGAAATATGGAGTTTTAAACGTCAGAAATATGCAACTTTTGAAAATGCTCCGGTTTTCAGACTGAAGTTTCCTTGGTTTCTCTGTTCTCTTCTTATTTTCCTATTAACAATGGCCCTAAAGCTCCATCGTAGGACACAGAACCGGGAGTTTCAGTCCTACGAAAGGTATGAACGACCTGAAACCACCTAACAATTGGTGTGTCTTTGGCTTCGGATGAAGTATCGCCAAAGCTTAATGCTTTGCTTCCCTGCAGAATAGAAATGTGCAACACTTTTCAGTCATAATTCTGTGCAGCATACCTATATAGAGCACTCTGTCTGTCACCATGTATTTGGCGTGATTGACACGTGCGAAGGGGATCTTCATCTGCTCCTCTGTTGACGGCACCGTAAAGATTTTCTGCAATCAGAAGCAAGATTGCAGTCACTTTTGTGTTCATCATCCTCCTCATCATCAGCACTTGTTCTGGTTTTGGCTGCAAAGCCGACGATGATCTCACCACATCAACGTTGCATTGGAGCGGAGCCCTGCTGAGCACCAGCAGGGACTGCAGGAAGATGAACATGGAGGCCGGCGAGTGCTCCCAGCAGCTGACCATCAGTCTGACCTGCACCCCTCTGGTGCACGCTGCGGCGCGCAGCCTGGAGTCGATGGCGGGCCAGAACCTGCAGGATTGAGACACAAAGAAAGTTTGAAAAAAAAAAAAGAAAGAAGGAAAGCAAAGTTTTATGTGTTTAATCAACTGGTTGGACGTACTGTACTGGCTCTGTGTACTGAGACAGAGGGAGGTAGTCCATGACCGATATGTGGATGAACCTCTGGGCGTCGTCGATGACAGACAGGATGGTGGACAGATCATCGGAGCGCCCTCTGGCAGAGATGGGCGGTGGCGCGCTCTGCCAGAGGAGACGAGGGAAAAAACAAACAAACAAAATCAAACAAACAAAAACAAACAAAGGTTTGGGCTTCCGTGAACATTAAAGCTAATGAGAAACGAGACGAGCGGTGGACTCACAGACAGGTAGACCTGAGCAGGGACTCCGTTAAACTTCAGGTCCAGAGGGTTGTCGGCGCTGGACAGAGCGGACAGACGGGCGGGCCAGAACGGAGGGAGGGAGCCGCTCTGGGCCCCCCCGATGGCCCAGTACACCCCAAAGAGCCGAAAGGCATCCTGAGCCAGGCAGCTGCAGTCCTCCACTGACAGGCCCACCTCCTTCACCTGCCACACGCACACACACACACACGCACACACACACACACACACACACACACACACACACACACACACACACACATACACATACACACACACACACACACACACACAGTTAGATATGGATTTATGGAGAATCACCTGAAGAAAGGAAAAATATGCACAATACATTGCAAACTCATTAAGGTCTTTTCTTTAACTTTCAGGAAGTTATTATTTGTTCTCATTGTGTGCAATATGAAGATCACAAACTCTTTGACACGTCATTCTACAGCAGCGCGTATTACTATTGAACAGGGCAAAGGTCACAGAGAGAGGAGGAAGGAAAATCTGGATCGATTGTGTCTATTTTCTTAAAGCAACGCAGTGGAGTTGAGTCTTATTGAAAATAACTTTAGCAGATAACAGTCTAAGCTTTACACAACATGCTGAAATGAAACTAAACCTGCCATCGATAATCGCTGTCAGACAAGCCGAGGTTTTCATACATTTTAAACTTTCCCCGCGTTTTGTCCTGTTGCAACCAGACTTTTTCTTTTTTGTTTTTGGAAGCTCATTTTTGGAGTTTTAAAGTCATAATTTTGAGATACCAAGACATAATTTCCCCTTTCCCAGTCATAATTTTACGATTGTGATATATGGGTTTTCACAGAGATGAGTTTCCTTAGAGAGACAGTGTGACTTTGAATATCACTTATGATTTTATATATCATAACTACGACTTTGAAAATTGAAATTATGACTTTTGCCTTTCTATCTCAATTATGACTTTTACTCTTGTAATTCTAAAACTCAAAACTATAACTTTTCTTATGACTTTAAAGCTTGTAATTATGGTTTATTCTAATAATTCTAGGACGACTGTCAATCAAATAATTGATTTACTTTTATTATGACCTTTACTGACATAAATGACTCATTGTAATTACGACAATAACACTTGATATTGTGACTTTTACTCTTGTAATTTTTATATTAATATTCAATAATATGACTTATTTTCATAATTAGGGTTGTAAAACTTGAAATTATGACTTTCTCTTGGACTTCTATTTTTTTTTTCTTTTTTGGCAGAAATGGGCTTCCATATATAACAGCACATCCTTCAAAAGTGGAAGAAAATAAGTTATTTTCTGTATGTCTTGAACATAAAAGTGCGGCCTGCATTTTTATTGCAGAGTTAAAGGGGTATGGATACTTATGCAAGGCTTTTTCTCTCAAAATGAATCAGCTGAATGATCAGCCCATTGAATCACATTTCAACCAAAGGATGAGAAACTTCCATACATTAGGTTAAATTCTTTTGAAAAGGCTATAAAACACATTTCTCCTGCTGCTGTACCTGACTGAGAGAGCGCCAGTCCATGTTAGCGCTACCCAGGTAGAAATGCTTCTGGTCCACGATCCAGAGCTTGGTGTGAACTATGCCTCCGGTCACGGCACTCAGATTCACCTCTCTGACCTGTGCACCTTCGGGAAACAACGTGGCGGACCGTTATTAGGAACACAGCTCTGAAACGGCAACTTGGCGCTGTAGCCGGAACGTGATTGGGGTTCCTACCTGCTGCGCTCAGTTCTGCTGTGTCCTGCGTTGAGGTTTGAGGGGCGTTGACAGCAATCTGGAGTTTCACGCCTCTGGATTCAAGTTTTTTGAGCTGCTCGAAGACTTTTCTCCCCTGCACAGTGTAGAAACAATAAGAAACCCTTCAGGGTTTCCTTTGCACGTGATTTATTGCAGTGCAACGTCACTGCGAAATAAAAGTCTCAACACATTCAGAATGTATTAAAAGCCTGGCGGGCTGCCAGGCTTCACTTGGCCCCTTTCCCCCACCAGGCTAAGTGCCATGTGTTTATTTTAAACAGGGTTTTTGAAACACCATTAACAGCTAAGATGGATTAAGCTAGGCTTATTGTCTACACATTGAATTGTCCCGTCTTTGCACCTATGATGCCTGCTCAGGCGTCACCAAATGTTTGTAACTTTTAACATAATTTGAGACAAAAACACAACATCCACCATGTTGCCGCGCAGGATTAAGTTACATGGTTGCAAAGGGTCAATACTCACCTGGAAGTCTGAGGGGTTGGCTGATTGGACGTCGCTGTCCCGCAGCGTAAAGTAAAACGCAGCGATGTTCACCGAGCTCTTGGCCTCGTTCAGCAGACGGAGCCAGCTGTCTGCGATGCTCGGCCCGGGCGACAAGGAGGACGGGTACAGGCCGACGGGGATGCTCTCCACCAGCTGTACTCTGCACAGCACAGAGGGACATTCTGGGACATCGTTCACGTCATATCGCTGGGAGAAACCAAACCTCTGACTGGTGAACCCCTTTTCTGACGATACTTACCGGCAGTCTGAGCCACAGTGCTCCGGCACCAGGCCGATGCCCTCCAGCCGGTGCAGCTCCAGCTGCGTCGCTAGCTGAGCCACGGACGTGGGAAGCCCATAGAGCCAGACGTGCAGGCCGAGCCCTCCCACCAGCAGCAAAAGAAAGAGAGAAACAGCGGCGCACATTGACCTCTGTCAAAACAAAAACAGAGACGCACATGACTCGAACCCGACACGGCGTGCAACCGTCCTGCATTCCACAGCTCTGACTACAGGGTGTGGTCAAATACCTTCAAGTATGAATGAAGAAGTTCACACGGCCATGAAAACATTGACAGACAGACTTAAATCTGATCTACAGGTCCAAAATTCTAAAAATGTGATATTTTCCCAATCTGTAAATGCAAGTGATGGCAACGTTGTCCATTGTGGAAGTTGTTGCCAAGTAAAGAAAATCTTACAGTTGAATACACTGATTAAATTGTTGTTGTTTTTTTTTACACATCTTGAGAGAGCAAGAAAGACTCAACAGAGTACAGTAGATTTCTGCATTTTTCTTGTCATGGAAGATACTGGATTTGGAAATCGTAGTGTTAAGGTAAGGTTGTGTATTGAGGCACGGAGACTGTCTCTGTAAACCTAGACACTAATATAAGATGCTCTCGCTGCTTTAAAAGCTCCATTTGTTGCATCCCACGAGTCTATATGAAGAAAAGTGAAACTCACCTTCGTGGACTGGGTGGTCTTCCCACTAGCTGCTTTTTTTGGTTCCACATAAGAGGCAGAGTCGTCCATACAGGGTTCTTCTACTTCACAATCTGGAAGCTTTGTTTGGCTTTCGAGCGGTTCCTGATGCTCCTCGATATCCTCTGACTCGTTGCCTTTGGATCTTTCGGTTGCTAGGTCGGCGTTCGAAGACGATCGGCTGCTCCGGGATTCAGTTGCTTTCACCGGCTCCCAAGGCGGTTCTTCTTCCATAATACACTCCGTCTGCTCGACCACAGCAACATCAGCCTTCTCTTCAGATTTCTCGGTGTCTCCACAGGCGGAGAGGGTCATCCCTGGGTGTTTTTCGTCTGGCTTCAGGCTGAGGACACTTTCCTGCAGGATGGAACTTAGAAGTCCTTCTGGTGTGATACCGACTTTAGTTTTGGAGCGTTTGTTCATGTCTTGCTCTGGCCTGAGAGGAGGTCTGGGGCTGGCGATCATGGCACCCTGAGTAAACTCTGAGATACTCTTGGTTTTCGGGGCGGCAATGGAAGAGGTGTGATCCGCTGTGGCAGCTTGTTCCACCTTGCCGGACATTGAGGGCGTGACAAAGCTGGGTACATGGACGGACGGAGGAGGCAACGCTGATTCTCCGACCTCGGGGAGTTTGGACTTTAATGTTTCCATGCTCGCACTTCCGGCTCTGACAAAAGGTTTCACTACGTGAATGGGGCCGTCTTTTCTGGGAGAGGGAGGATCGGCGGCCTGACTTCCACCGGCCATTCGTTCGGTGGCCTGACTTTCACCGGCCATTTGCTCGGCAGCCCGACTTCCACCGGCCATTCGTTCGGCAGCCTGACTTCCACCGGCCATTCGTTCGGCAGCCTGACTTCCACCGGCCATTCGTTCGGCGGCCTGACTTTCACCGGCCATTCGCTCGGCGGCCTGACTTTCACCGGGCATTCGCTCGGCAGCCTGACTTTCACCGGCCATTCGCTCGGCAGCCTGACTTCCACCGGCCATTCGCTCGGCAGCCTGACTTCCACCGGCCATTCGCTCGGCAGCCAGACTTTCACCGGCCATTCGCCCAGCAGCCAGACTTCCACCGGCCATTCGCTCGGCAGCCAGACTTTCACCGGCCATTCGCTCGGCAGCCTGACTTCCACCGGCCATTCGTTCGGCAGCCTGACTTCCACCGGCCATTCGTTCGGCGGCCTGACTTTCACCGGCCATTCGCTCGGCGGCCTGACTTTCACCGGGCATTCGCTCGGCAGCCTGACTTTCACCGGCCATTCGCTCGGCAGCCTGACTTCCACCGGCCATTCGCTCGGCAGCCTGACTTCCACCCATTCGCTCGGCAGCCAGACTTTCACCGGCCATTCGCCCGGCAGCCAGACTTCCACCGGCCATTCGCTCGGCAGCCAGACTTTCACCGGCCATTCGCTCGGCGGCCTGACTTCCACCGGCCATTCGCTTGGCGGCCTGACTTCCGCCGGCCATTTTCTCGGCGGCCTGACTTCCGCCGGCCATTCGCTCGGCGGCCTGAATTCCGCCTGCCATTCGCTCGGCTGCCTGACTTCCGCCGGCCATTCGCTCAGCGGCCTGACTTCTGCCGCGCATTCGCTCAGTGGCCTGACTTCCGCTGCCCATTTGCTGAGGACTTCTGCTCCCCGGTCGCTCGCCGGCCATTCTCTGAGGACTTCCGCTGCCCGGTCGCTCAGCAGCCTGACCTCCGCTGCCCGGTCGCTTCTGGTAAGTGGGGATTCGGGAGACTGGTTTCCCACCTTTTCGGTTCATATCTTCTTTCTCGTCGATTTCTTTTCTCTGGGTCCTTTCATCTATGTGGAGTGGATCCAAAACAACCCGGCAACCCTTCAGTTCCTGAGAAAGACAGATGCATCGTTTGACTGCAAAGCTTTGACTTTGAATATCACCATGGTAAGACACTAAGAACTATGTAACATCGTCCACAGCAGCTGCGCCAAGTTTGGCTCAGTGTTCTATCTTCCTGTAGCACCGAAATGACTAGCACACACCCATTCAAATTAGAGGCATGAACTGGCCCACCGCAGCCAAACAGTGTTTGTTTGCTCACATGACACCGCCATGACTACAGGATCAATTCATTCAAAGTTCTTTACAGACTCAGAGCCCCACCTGCTCTGCTTCTGCAGTTAACATTTCATAAATATGCAGCAGGCTCCATGGCAACCAAAACACACTGTTCCTTCAGGGCATCGGCAGTGTGAGGTCATATTTCAAGATATTTCAGAGCTGCATTTACATCTTTACTCTTGCTGGAGCAATGGCTGGAAACTTCTCTTTGAGCGGAATATAAATCGTCTAAAAAAAAAAAATTAAAACAGGCGTTTTTTTTTCCCCCCCCCTGTAAATGCTAAACATTAAACAGTAAGAAAGAAACAATAGTATATATAGGCAAGTCACAATAACAAATTTTACTGGACGATAAACTGTTCAAGAAATTAATGCGATAAGAAAAGATTTTGCTTTCGCGCTTTGCGTAACTTTGAAATTGTAGAAAAGCTTGATGCTTTTCTGAAAAAAGGAGAAAAAAAAGCAATTGTGTAATTTTGCTCAACTACTTTCAAACACTACTTTGTTTGCTTCAAGGTTATAATGAGAGGATTACAAGCGAATGCTTTTACCAGAACTAAATAATGAATTCTTAATATGTTCTAGTGGAGCGACAATAGTTCAACAAGAATCTGTTGATAAAGGAAGTTCATTTTTCAGCATACAAACTAACATGATTCATGTTCAATTAACCACACTTTGGGCCAAAATGTAATATCCTCATCCATCCATACTACTAGATAACGCTACTATTAATGCAGCACTTTCTGTTTTATGTTTACCTTTAAAACAATCAGATGTTAAACTGTGGCCCTCCAATCAGATTCAACAATGACATCAAAAACCCCTTTTATGGAGTCTCTCTTTCAAAGACATGACAAAAGAACAATACCTGAAGCAGCACTGCATTACAAATGCTTGGGTACAAAAACAAACCAAATAAACAGGACAAATTTCAGCACTGCGTGTTTTAAATAGACAGGTTAGCAGCTCTAAGTGGAAGCAACCAAATCCGAAAATCGGCCACCCATCGCTAACTTTGAGCTTACTCCATTCATGGCAAACAACGTCTACATTTTCTGCTGCAGTAAAAGTGTGTTTAGAGTTAACCTTCCTCTGGTTCAGAGCTGGTAAATCCCTCCCCGCTGAAGTCATCCAGCAGGTGAGAGTCTGACCTGCTGAGATCTGACAGGAAGCAAAACAAAGCAGAGCAAACACTGAGCTTCCTCAACAAAGAGTCGGCCTTCATGAATCAAAAGGGAGAAAGGAGCCAATGTTAATCACACAATGCAGTTCTGCTTCTACTAGCTTAAGTATTGAAGAAAATAAAGTATCAGTGACAAGTTCATTTCGATCATTTGTTTGAAAAATTTAAACTCAGACAGATTAAGGAGACACAAAGCAATATATTGTATTTATGTGTGTGTGTGTGCGTGCGTGCGTTTGGGCTTAGCTGGGCTACCTCCATGCCCCAGCACAGCGATGCAGCACATGTTTTACAAAAACCCAAACATTTAAATAGTCAACTGCACATGTGTCAAACTCAAGGCCCAGGGGCCAAATCTGGCCCACCGTTGCTTTTTATGTGGCCCTCTAGACTCCAGAGAGACCTTCAAGATAATTTGCTCAAATATTATTTTATCAATCAAATCAAAGCACATTTTATCTGTATACTACCAAATTACATAAATCAGTCCGTCCATTTTTTGGTAAAAATTTATTCAAAAAAAAATATATATATATATTCTTGCGCTAATGCGGGATTGCAAGTTTATTACAAATTTTCCGCAAAACTTGTTAAAATCGGACAAACTCCCACCTGCAGGGGGCGGTATTTCTCACTTCTACTCCACTGCTGCCTCAAACGTAGTTGAGGTGGAATTATAGTCTGTGACTGACGTGAGAAGCAACAAAAAGTCACATTAACTGTTTAACAGTCATACATAAGCGGAAATATCTCGACATATTTTTGGAAATAATTTTTAATTGCCGCCACCAATCTAAAAAAAATTAAAAATAATAATAACTGTAATATTAATACCAATGAATCCTGGGTGGATTAATCAGTTAATTCAATATTATTCAATTTTATTAATATTGTTGCAGTCTCTTAATGGGTTTTATTACTATATTATTTCACAACCGGCCCTGTAAGAACATTGTGGTCTAATGAAACATTACTTCCTAGAAAAAAAAAAAAAAAAAAAAACAAAACACAGTTTAATCTTTAACTGGGTTACAGATAAAGACACTTCCCGTTAATAACCAGTCTCTCCTGCAGGGGAGCCACGGCAGACACTGCTCCGTTTTGTCGTAACGGGCCACGTTACAGAGGACAAATGGTTTCATTCCTCAGTGATGGACCTCTTACCCGATGGTCCGTATCCTCGGCAGCTTCCTCCTCCAGCTCGGCCGCTTGTCTCTCCATCACTTGGCTCGGGGTGGCCTCAGGCTCTGACTCATCAGCCTCCTAAACGGATTGGTAATAATCAGCTAATGGGGTGCAGCACTTCCGACCGACACCAAACATGCCGTACGTGCAGTCCGCAGGGAGGGGGGACACTGATAGACTGCTGCTGGCTGTGTTTAAAGCTACGGCAGCAATAGAAGTTAGTAATATTGAGGGTTGGGGGAGGAGGGGCGAGGGGGCGAAAATTACTTATTAAATTCCGAAATAACTTACCATAACGCTGTAGTGTACGGGTTATAGAGTATAAAGTTTGAGGCCGTAGTACGGGAGGGGAAGGGGGGTTCCCCCCTTAAAGGTGCAGTTAAGGTTAGCTCCGCACAGTTAACTTAAGCTAACTGCTTTAAATAAACTAAAACGAAAACGGCAAGTAGTTCTGACGGGAGAATTAAAGCAACTGGCACTAGTGGTACAAACATAACCGCTTTAAAGACAGAAAAGACAAAATAGTTTGCCATAAACGTCGCTGCTGCTGCTGCCGTTGACGCTAACGAGCGAGCTACGTGGCCGTCCTCCTTTTTTGTAGTTCTCAGCAAGCAGCAGCAGCAGCAGCAGCGGAGGAAGAGGAGGCGGAAAGACTGAGTAATAAAAGTACCCACCTCATAACGCCGATTCAGATACGGGCGTGTCGACCTCCGCCTCGGCGTCGGCTCTAACTCGACCCGATTCGACCGTCTGGACCGTAGCACCATCGGCATCCTGGAGCGGTTTTGAACAATGTCGCGAGCAGATTTGTGGTACGAAGGCGCGTTAACGGTTGGAGCGGAAAGTCAACAGTAACGAGAAAGGAGCCAACGGCGGCGAAACGAGTCCCAGAGCGGCGGCCTTCAGGCGTAACGTTATTAAGAGAACCTGTCGCGCTTTTTTTTTTTTTTTATAAACACAGCAGTCAGTAGTGGTCTGAAGATGACATGTGGGATTTGAATGGGTCGTTCTTCACGGAGACACATAAACAACAACTTGAAGTAACCGCGATTTCCTGTCAACTCTGATTGGCGGTTGGAACACAGGAGTAGTTGACGCACGGAACGTCAGTTGGGAACGTCGTAGCCATATTGTGAGTGGGATTTTAAAGCTGAAACGTCATATAAACTAAAAAAAACAAACTGTATATATATATATATATATATATATATATATATATATATATATATATATATTATATATATATATATATGAGCCTATATTTAATTCTCAGTTCCTATCTTTGAAACACACTCACAATTATCTCTAACATAAAATCACTATCAACCTTTAAATGCAGATTTAATACACACCACTTCAGAATCGCTTTGTGTGTTTTTTATTTATAAATCCTTTTATTTTCTAATTGTTAAATCTTATCCTATTTTTTTAAGTTGTCCAGCATCCTTGTTTGTTCTGTATATACTGCCTGTTTTTTGTACAATGTCCTCGATCGAAAAGACAAATGCCTTAACATTAAATTAAATATCAAATTTTATTTGATATGTTTTTTGTCATGACATTTTCTTTTTTTCCTTTACTATATGTATTTTGATGTCTATTTTTCTAGAGTGTTCTGAGGTTTGTGGCATATTAAACTCTCTTTTAATTAAATTCTGAAAGTTTTCGTCTTATCCTTTGCCTTTTCAAAGCTCTTTGGATTCTCTATGCTGCCAAATAAATAAGCCTGATTTCACTTTCTTTTCTGATCAAATAGAATAGTTCAGTTAAATGCAGTTGAATTATGGTACATTAAATCTAGTGGAGCATTTTCTAGTTCACAGTTTCATTGGTGGTTCTGTCTCACTTTGACAGTCTGTTTTTGTCCCAGCGATCGTCAGCATCGGTTCTAAAATGTAACACACTTTTTGTTCCTAAAAGTTATCAAAAGCGAAGACGAACGTAATCGTTCCTTTTGGATAAAACGAACCTTACCGTACTTTCCTTTTCCAAACAAGCTCTCCTCGTTCTTCAACGTGAGTTCGCCACTCCCAATATGGCGGACGCGCCGGTGCGCCGTCACAGAGGCTCCGCCTCTCAGACGTCACACACGCCAGGAAGGGATTTACCGTCTTCGGTCGGCTGCTCGTACCTTCAGCTCCATGTTCACCTGAGGCGAAAAGGTCTGTTGTTGTCGTCGATTCTATGTCTACGGGTGAAATTCGTATTATTATTATTATTGTTATTATTTGTTTGTTTGTATTTATTTATTTTTTAACGGGATTCAGCGAGCCGCGACTGGCAGGCGGAAGAGAGAGACGTAACGTAGGTGTTTGCGGTTAGCTTCGGTTGAGGTCCAGCACCTTGAACGCAGCGTCGGGGTTGTTTATGTCACAAAAACCAAAGTAAAGTCAGTCCTGTCGGGTCAAAGGTTGCAGCAGTTCACCGAGCGGCGTCTCACCTGTTGAATGTGTGACTAAATTAAACTTTGACATCGTCAAACTCGGGTTTTATGAAAGCGTTGCATAATAAATTCGGTGCAAACTGAAAGAATCCGCGTCTGCTGCGTTGATGTTGTTGTGCGATTAGTGAAGCAGTGAGTCTCCTCACCGGCTGCATGCAGCCATACAGTAAATGTGTGTTTATAATGACTCAGACCGTCACGGAAATGTGACCAAAAGACAAAACTCTTTAGAAGTACACCTGCTGATTAATGACTGCATTTAAAGCAGACGTATTTCATTTCATTTTCTCATACCTCTTATACTCTGATCTTTGCCACCGATCATGCTGTCGGCGTCGTTTATGTCTCACAGACAAACATCACAATTTGTATTGGGAGCAACAACAAAAAAAACAAACAACAAAAACAAGACGATTTCAGATTGTTTTTCACGGCGCTGACTTGCTTCTGCATGCTCCTCATTCCTTCTGTCTCCTGGAGATTTTCCTGTAAACGCGCAACCTCTCTTTCTTCCCTTATCATTTTCTCCAGCTCTTAGATTTTGTTTGTGTGCTTTGTGAGTGAGAGAGAGGGGTGGGGGAAGAGAGAGATCCTGCCCTGCACAATTGCAGGAAACGCGGCCGTCCACCTGGAGGGATTAATCAAGTCCATGGGCTCCATGGCAACTCTTGACATCCACAACTCAGGTGGGAGTGGCAGTCAACAAACAAAACATACAAATAAATAAAAAGAAAACAATACATATGTGTGTATAGGTGTGGCGAGACGTCATTGTCGAATGCGGGGCGACACGATTAATCGTAATTAATCGATTGCTGAGATAATCGTCGACTGATTTAGCTAACGTTTGGTGAAAGAACCACACATTCAGAGCCACAATTAAGCCAAAAACTGTACAAAAAATATTCACATTTTTACATTTAAGATTAAAAAAATTTTTTTTTCTTTATTAGCATATTGAAGGTATTTCTATTATTGTATAAAAAAACTTTTTAAGTGGTTCAATGGAAAAAACTGCAAAATCTGCCAAATTTTTTTATGCAATAAGTCGATTAATCGTCAGACTAATTGACGGAATAAGCGATGACCCATCGCTCATTGGACAGCTGCATCCCTGGTTGGATGAAAGAGCCCGTTTGCTGACATCGGAGGGAAAAAAAAATTGTGGTCGTGACTTAACTTGTTGAGCAACTTCATTCCAAGTCGTGGCGACAGGTTTTGTTTCTCGTCCATGTCACCATATGCGCTCCGTAGCGTCCCATTTGTTTTCTGGGTCATCTGCTGACCCCCCGCCCCCATGTGGACGTGTCGCCCACTCCGCCAGATCCTCGGTGTGAAGGCTCCAGAAGTCCCGCGTTGACGATGGCCGCTCAGTGATCCCTCCGCCGCTCCAATGGAGGCTCCGGTCACCGCCGCTTCCCCTCCTCCAAACTCCTCCTTCTCCTCCTTGTCGCCCCCGACGCCGCTGCGTCCGGCCGTGGCCCCGTCCGTCCAGCTGGGCTTCACCGCCCTCTACACCGCCCTGTACGGCGGCCTGTTCCTGGTGGTGTACGTGCAGCTGTGGCTGCTGTTCGTCTACAAGCACAAGCGCTGGAGCTACCAGAGCCTGTTCCTGTTCCTGTGCCTGCTCTGGGCCGGCCTGCGCACCACGCTCTTCTCCTTCTACTTCCACAACACGGCCCAGGCCAACCACCTGCCCGCCGCCGCCTTCTGGCTGCTCTACTGCTCCCCTGTGTGTCTGCAGTTCTTCACCTTCAGCCTCATCAACCTCTATTTCACCCAGGTCAGTTTGGGCCGGAGCATCGTGGGGAAACGGCGTGGCTTCGGTTTTGTTGAAAGGTTTGTGTTGTGTTGCCGCTCCGCAGGTTTTCCTGAAGATCAGCGCCGCCTCAGACACAAAGCTGTAAGAACAACCTTCCACTGGACTGGGTCGTGTTATGCTGTGTTGGCAACCTGTGTGTGTGTGTGTGTGATTGTCAGATGGGTGGCCCGGTGCGCCTACGCAGCCATCAGTGTGATCTTCCTTTGCGTCAATGTGACGTGCGCCGCTCTGGGGGAGCGAGGCAGCAGCGGAGAGAAGGGCAAGCGCACCTGGAAGCTGGTGTTGGTCAGAGTGATCGTTAACGACCTGCTGTTCATCGTGGAGGCCGTGCTGCTGGCCGCCACGCTGCTGCTGCTCACCAGGCAGCCGCGCTCCTTCAGCCCATACCTCATGAGCAAGGTGCAGACACCCGTCTGTCCGTCCATCTGTCCGTCCATCCATGTGTCCATTCAACCATCTAAGCATTCTTTCAGTCGTCCACCCATCAGTTTTTCCATCCTTGTTTTATTCATCCAGCTATTCATCCATTTTTGCTTCATCACTTCCTTTCCTCCCTCCTTCTATACATCTTTTAACACATCCTTCCTTCTTTATTTCCTTCCTTTGATTCATCCAAACATTCATTCATTCTTTCCTTCCTTTCTTCTACCTCTCGTTTGTCCATCCTTTCTTTTTGCCATCCTTCCCACCATCGGCTTTCTGTTTTTCTGTGTGTGTGTCTTAACGGGAGCGGTGAGTGATGCGTTTCCTGTCACCAGGGAACCACGGTGTGCCGCACTGCGGCTCTGGGAGCCGCGGTCATCTTGCTGTTCCTCAGCCGGGCCTGCTACAACCTGACTGTCCTCTTCCTGTCCCAGAGCTACAAGGTGGAGTCCTTCGACTACGACTGGTACAACGTCTCCGACCAGGTGGGGTCCTGCTTCCCGATGGAGCATTTTCACCTCCGAGTCATCAAACTGTTGGACAAGTTGTTTAAAAAAAACCCCAACAACCTGTATTTCCAGGCTGACCTGCAGAGTGAACTCGGCGACAGAGGCTACCTGGCGTTCGGTGCCATCCTCTTCATCTGGGAGCTGCTCCCTACCAGCCTCCTCATCCTCTTCTTCAGAGTCCACCGGCCCACTCAGGAGGTTGAGCTCCACTCTCCATACCCACAGTCTCATCCGTTTCCCTTGTTCCCAGTCCTCACACGTCCTTTTCTCCACAGACCAGCAGTTTGGACATCAACAACAGGGTTCTTCCCCGTCCGTACTTCTTCGATGACCCAGAAGGCAGCGACGATGAAATACCGGCGCCGTGGGCTCGCAGCCCCGCTCAGAACCAAAGGTGATACCGATAGTTGAAGCTTTTTCTTTCTTGATTAAATGGAGTTTGCTCACTTTAGAAGCACGAACTTGGTTATCCGTCGCCGGATATCTGGGAAAAGGAACACGTTTTTTTCGCGTTTCAGCCTTTCGCCCGCACAAAAACGCAGTTTGATCTCTAAAAACGATTATTTATTAATTTAAGGAAACTGTAAATGTTTGCATGTTTACGTGGGGAAACGGGTATCTGAGCTGTGGCGCCCCCAATGGACGGAGCAGAAATCACAATGAAGGAGTGAACAGACGAAGTCACTCAGAAATTTAATGCCAACAGCTTTACAATCTCTTTTTATTGTTGTTATTAGAGCATAAATGCCTTTTCAAGACCATTTGATCAGTTTTCATTTTAGACAATTAACAGATAAATATTAGATGTAATGACTTCAGGCAGAAGGAAAACAGTGGAGGTTTAGATTCCTGACCTAAATGCTAGTTTACTCTGCTGTGACTCGTCACTTTGCGTGAGCTCTAACTTATCTGCTTCTGCCGTTTTGGTTTTCATACTTCCAGCTGGAATGGATCGGAGACTACGCCCCTCCTGTTTGCCAACAACCCCGCAGACCAGAGCCACCAGCACCACTCGTTCTACTCCACCCCCCAGAACTGAAACCAAACCCTCATTCATTCGCTGTCGTAATTTTTACCTCACCTAGACAATGACCTCAGGCGGATGAGAACGGCGTGCGCAGCTACCGCCCAGCATTACCGCACAGTCTGTGGTTGAAATTGCACTGAATAACCTCAGGAGAGCTAAGAAGATGCACCTTGTATTATTATTATTATTATTTAGATATATTGACACTTTCTCAGCTTAAAGGGAACATTTTTGGTGGGAGAGGACCTGATGGACTCCATGAGGGTCAAACTAAGCATTGTTTATTTATTTGCTTACTCACTGTGAACACAGGAGCCAAACTGACACTTCATATTACATTCCTGGATGGACTCAAATCAGCTTAGTTGGGAACCACTGAGTATGTAGAGCTGCTTAGGAAAGTGGCATTTATTAAATACCAAGTGGTGCATCTGAAACTGATTCCAATGCAAAGGATATGATATTTACTGCTGCCTGAAGAAGTTTTATTATTGCTGACGGTGGGATTTCATGTTTCTCATTTCCATCCTTAGCATTGCTGCAGATACTTGTGTGTAGTTTGTTTATGGGGCAATAACTTGTTTTTCTTTAGGGCTTTTTTTTTTTACTCCTCTCTGAGTTCATGTGTTTGATTGGATGTTTTAATTTATTTATCTTTCACAAATGTATTTTTTATTGTTATCTCATCTGAAAAGGACCTGTGCAACAATGCTGCCCTTGCTGGCAATGAACCAATAAACACTTTGACATAAACCTGCTGGTCTTGTTGCTAGGCAGAACAGCTTTCTGGGAGGCAGCCTGCACTTGCACTGAAACCTTTCAATACAATAAATCCATAATGATGAAGTTCTAAAAGTAATATATGGAAAAGAGGAGGATTTCTATTTCAAAAGGATTAAGGATAATCTCTCACAGATGTCGAGTTACGTTGTTACGACAGAAATAATTATTTTAAATCCACCAGTGGCACAATCATTTCAAATAAACGTTTAAAAGTTCGTCAGTTGAATGAACTAAGTTAAAATACTTCTGTACTAATTTAATTAATGGACTTTAAAACGTCTGAAATTTGAGTTAGAGAAGAAAGGAGGCAAGAACAACCATCAAATGGCATCTACATGGTCAAAAAAATTATTCCTGTCTCAACATCAAACGGAAAAATAGTTTGGTTACCTTTAATGCGGGTTTTAAATGGACCTTTGACCTTTCATCAAATGAGAGTATTGGTGAACTTTTTCTGCTGTTAATACCAGGCTGTAGTTGGTTCTTTCACTAGCATAATTATTAAATACTTAGAAATAAATCCAACACAAACTGTTGAAAAAATATTCACTCCTTGGGATGTTTTACCCCTTTGGTGCCTGAAAAAATGTCAGGCTGCATCTGACATTTTTGTCGCAAATATTTGTTTTGCAGTAAATATTTGCGACATATTTATTTCACAAATATTTGCTTGAAGGCCTTGCTGCATTCTGAAGTGTATGAACACTGGTGCCACCACCTGTTTGGGAGGGGAACTGCTCTGCGGTGAGTCGGTTAGCCTCACGGTAACAACCAATCACAACTCAAAGTAGAACGCTTTTGTGCGCTCCCAAACAACCAATCACGTAGAAGTACAGCCTCGTAAACAAGTTTTGAATTAATTTTAAAATAATAATAGTTAAAAAAAAAAGATCAGGTGCAAGACTTGTCGTGTCTCAAGCTTGGATTGGATGGAGACCATCACATGACAAATAAATATGGCAAATATTTCCAATGCGTTTGCCTGCATATTACAGCAAATTTGATCTCAAATACCGAGACACTTATTAATGGAGAGATTTGGCTTCGTTCAATAAACAATAGCAACCCAGATGAAGACAGATTGACCCATGACCCGTTTTTGTTGCTGCTGAGGTCAGACAAAAATAACTCAAAAGTTGGGGGGAAAAAATGAAAATGTAGAAAAGTTTTACAAGAACCTTGCAATATTCTTTAATTGGGATCTACAGATTTTCAACAACAGATGACTTTGTTCTGTTTACTTAAATATCGCATGTTTAGTTTGTTGTGAACAAGTAAAGAAAATATTCTTGCAATTATAACTGAGCTTTGTTTCTACTTTTGGTGTCGAATGTGGCTGGAACAGTTTGATGATTCCCCCCCACCCCACCCCCAAAAAAAAAAAAAACTACAAACCTAGATTTAAAATAAAGTCGTTTTAGCCACAACAGAAATAAAATAACGCTCCTTCTGTGAAGAATTTTTTTTTTCGATCAGTCAGAAGTTTTAATTTAAACAGCCAAATCAACTTAAAGACAACATCACATGGCGGCAGCAGAAAACCTGTAGAAAAAGGCCCTTAAAACCAGGAGCTTCGACACGTTCCTCTGTGGCATCAGCTGCTGCTTCAGGCGCTTTATTCCGCAGCAAGACGATCCTATTAAAACTCTTTTTACAGTATATACAGTTTCCAATAAATCAGTATGATACAGTGTCAGCGGGGGGTCAGAACCCTGGGAAGCAAGGAGAGGGTCGGGCCGGTGGCCATGTATAAAAAAGCAGAAGCGAGCTGTTTGGCTTTATTTGAAACTGAAAATGCTGGATTAAAGATCCGCCTGTTGCGTAACATGTTGACATGGTGAGCAGGACCGCCTTCCTGCTGAAGATGCAGTAAAACTAGACCTAAACGCCGACTGACCGAGTTCATTTCCTGCGGCGTTGGCGTGGCGTAAGTCCACTCCGGAGTGGATCCAACCACAAAAAAGAAAAAAAAAAGATGAAGAAAGAGAGAGAGGAAAAGAATAACAGAAGAGGAGCCGTCGCCGTCCGACACAGGAGCGGGTTGCGTCTTAGCTCGAGTCCGACTCGTCGCTGTGGGAAACCTGAGCGTGTGGACGAGGGAGAGAGAGAGAGAGGCGACGAAGAGCCGAAGCAGCCATAAGTTATCTCCAAAGTTCCTGTTGGTTCAGAAGCGATAAGCCCCGCCCCCTCTTCTCGCCGGTCACGTGTCAGTTCTCGGGAGGTGGCGACGGCGACGTCGGCGACGTCTCTAGCTTACGGAGACGGCGACGCCTCAGCTCGGCCGCGCTGGGCTCTCCGTTCTCGTCGTCGGCCGCTCCTTCGTCCCAGTTCTCCTTCCTCTCTGCGTCTGAGGCAGAGGAGGTGGAGTCAGCGGGCTGAGAGGAGACTGTGGCTCCACCTACTGGGTCGGCTGGAAACACAATTACAGTCCTGGTTAGGAAGGAGCTTCCATTCCTCCACCAGGGGGCGCAGTTCCATGCTTCCTGTTCATGCAGGCACATTATACACATCCCCAACCCCACTCCTCCATCTATTTTCTGTTGAGAAATTAATATTCTCATTCTGGGAATAACGAGAAATTATTATTCCGATATAATAATTTTCAGCTTGATGAAGCAACCTGGACTCTACAGATTTAGCACCAAATTGTTACATGTCGTCTCTATGAACTCACAAGTGGGTAAAGCCTGTTCTCTGCTAAGTCATACGGTCAAACAAGCATCATTTAATAGCTTACAGATCTTGCTAATATCGTTTAAACAAATAAATATTGTAAAATTAATCATTTGGGATTCAGTGGCTGTTCCTACATGTCTGCCTAGCATTACACCAACCTGCTGCCTTCCCACGCCTGTCCTGATTCTCTGTCTTCTCTTCCTCCTCTCGATCCTCACAGCTGAATGACATCAACTTTGTGCTAAGTATGTTTAAAAATACAGCAGTCAAACCACATAAAAAAAATTTAATTAAATTTTAATGTTAAATGATATACTTTAACTGGATGCTGCATCTGCTCAGACGTATCTGGTTACATTACAGCAGTGCTGTAGTTATACTGGTTGAAAACATTCAAATTCAAGTTCAACATTGCCAAGTTTTAGAATTTTATATGTAGTTTTTTGGTTGAACAATAAAAAACCCCAAAGTAGTTATTTTACATTTCTTGCTATAATCTATTGTATTATAAGTGTAGCACAGTTGCAGGACAGCAGTGATCTGTCATTTGGTAACTTAAGCTAACCTGAATATTTATAATTTACATGGCTCCTCGATTAACCTTTTAACAATGTTTTTACCAGCATTTCACTGAGAAATAGCCCATGTAATGAGAAGAGCAGATTCCAATAGGTGAGCTAATTGCTCCTGGCTAGTCTGAAGGAGCTAAGTGAGGCTGCTCTGTGAGGCAGAAGCCTGGAAGCTTAGAAACTGGAAAACTGCAGCTCAGAGGAGGAGCTTCACCCTTGAAAGCGGAGCTACGGGTGAAAGAGTCAAGGCCATGTTCCAGGTATGTTTGTGATAAGGGAATGACATCATAACATGATGTGGAGCGATTAAACAAAGTTGATTTTACAAAATCCTGCCCCTTTAAGACACTTGTACGTTAATAAAACTCTGTCATATCAGTACGCCCCCATGTGTTTTATACCTACTTTTCACTCCAGTCTCAGAATTCATCACTATCCTTTCTAAATTATAAAACACTTGCTGATTCTTCTTCTGTGAAAATATATTTAGCTCGTTTTTCAAAACTGTAGTAATAAAAAAAGTGAAAACTTCTGTGATCAGAAACTTGTATTTGTTACATACAGGTGGACGAGTCCCTCTCCGCGGTGGGACTCTCTGCGCCAGCGGACGCCGCCTCCTGATTGGCTCCGCCGGCGTCTGTGGCGCCACCCTCAGGCCGAGGAGGTCTGGGGTGAGAACAGAACAGAGGTGACGTTTCAGCGCATGGCGGCCCCTCAAAATTACAAAGGCAAATCAAGACCGCAGGCTTTTTCCTGACCGAACCAGTTTCAGATGGAGGGGCGTAACCTACGCGAGCGTGGCGACGGTGCTGAGGTAGTGGTGGATGTTGAGCATGGCGGCGTCCAGCAGGGTGTGGATGTTCTGGAGACACTGCAGCCTGGCCTCCAGGCCCCTCCTCCCTTCGGCCTCCAGCTCCCTCAGTTCCTCCTCCGTCAGGCGAGAGAGCGATGGAGGCGGAGGAGGCATGGACGACACTGGAGAGAAAAAAGGTGCACTTCAACAAAACCAGATGATTTCTTTTTTTTTTTTTTTACTCAAACAAGTGATGTGGGAGCTTACCGAAGGGAGGAGGCGGAGGCATTGGCAGCCATGGCGCGGCAGGGAAAGGAGGAGGCGGGAAGGAGAAAGGGAATCCTGGGATTGCTGATCCTGGAGCGGCGGCGGCAGCAGCTGATGATGTAGCAGCGTCTGCAGCAGCAGAAGTGGGCTGGCTGGTGCCTAATGGGAATGGACAAGTCACAAATTGATGCAAAAGCTAAATCGCTTGAGTTGAAATGACTGTAGTTAAAGGCAGAATTCCGGGCGTTTTACCAGCGGCCTGCGTCGTGTCCGTGCTGCCTGGTGGAGCATCAGCTGCAGCAGGAGCTGCAGGTGGAGCAGCAGCAGCAGGTGGAGGAACTGCAGGGAAAGGACCCCAGAAAGGGAAAACTCCTGGAGGGAAGCCTGGCAGCATGCCGGGAGCGACTGGAAGAGAGAGAGAGAGAGAAATAGAGAGAGAGAGAGAGAGAGAAAGGAGTTCAATGAACAAGAAAAGACAAACAGTGAATGTAGGAAAAGGACAGCTTTCTCAACTGTAAGAAATAAAAACATAGAGTAATTTTAGACAATTTAAAAGATAAAACCGTCTTTAAAGGGCAATACTGTGCATTTTCCAGTCACATAGTGCCATTTTATAGCATAATCAAGTAACTATGTTATAAAAATGCTATCAATATCAAATGTGACTTAAAAGATATCTGACTTTGTAATTTAATTCCTTGAAATTGGGCCTCTGTCACTTTAAGAAGCTCCTGCTCTTTTTGAAGGCCCTGACATCACTCTGAACTATGCAAACCCAAAGAAAGAAATGCAGATTTTCCCACAAATGAAATCTTCAAAAGCCATAAAAGCGATTTGTTGCCCAGCCCTGGAAGAGTTTCATACAGAACGTCACCATTTGGGGCCGGGGCAGCCGGGGCGTTGGCGGGCGCCGCCGGGGCCGGGGCCGGAGCCGGGGGTGGGGTCTGGGCCTGGTTGTTGTTGGATGCCCTGAGGACGTCCATGCGGCAGGTAGGGCAGGTCTGCTGCCTCTGGAACCAGGAGCGCAGGCAGCTGTGGAGCATCAACGACCATGAAAACATCGATCTTATCAGGCAAACATAAAAGTGTCTTTTCATAAGGATCGTTTGTTTCCAGCCCTGTTTAAATTTCTACCTCAACTCCTGCTCTGTTTAAGTGCAGCAGGAGTGTTGAACTCAGCTCTGTGTGTGTGTGTGCGTGCGTGCGTGCGTGTGTACGTAAGTATGTATGTGTGGTCACATTGGACTCACCTGGAGTGGAAAATGTGATTACAGGGTAGCTTCTTGGCTCCGGTGACCATTTCCTCTCTACAGATGATGCAGACGTTGTCCGAGGCCTGCAGATCCTCCGGAGTCGCGTCAGGATATCTGAACATTATATCAGACACATTACTGGAATATCTCAAAAACTGTATTAGAATTCATAAGAATTAACTGGATAACAAAAAAAAACAAAAACAACAAAAATACTGATGGACTCACAGAGTGTTCATGTTGCGGATTGCTCTCCTTGACATGATCGCATCTGTTACGGCTTTTTTAAACTGCCTGAAGACAGAAACAAAAAGTTGGAAGATGTGGTAAATAAACTTTGTTGTTGGTTGACATGAAGCAGCAATCCAGACTCTTTATGTCCTAAAACAATAAATAAATAACTCAGTCGACTGTCAGGTGTTCAAACCTTTTTTTTTTTACAAATTAAAATGCAAAATAATTTTGTTGGATTTTTTTTTTACATCTGGTCAGCAATAAATTGAATATGCAATATTTTTTAATGAAGCAAAGGCTGAAAATTTCCTAACATTTCAGGTCTTTTTTTGCAAAATATTTTTCCATCAAAAAAAGTTTTCCCTAAGCCAGTTTAGAGGAATGGATGTGCTCCAGTTTTTGTTTTTTCCGAGTAAAAAGTCACAGTAGAGTTTATAGCTCTACGTCGCATGAAACTAAAAGCAAGAGAAAAATATGTCTACATAACGTCATGCTAGAGAATCAGTTTAGTAAAAAAAGAGACTTCTTCAAAGTGTCCACCAGAGGACCTCATTTGTGTCAGTCTTGCATTCTTGAGCTTCAGTCGGCCACATAAAATTATTCCACGTGCCACAAAGGGCCCCTCAGCCACACTTTGGACATCCCTGTTCCAGACAAACAAACATTTGAATTTGAAGAGCTGCTCACCTCATGGCCAGGTACATGGGCCGGATGGCGAACAGGGGGAAGGTGTGGACCTTTATCATAATGGTCATGAAGGCGATGTAGAGGAGAACCTTGATGAAACCTGGCGACAACATGCCGTGTGACACATTTATCATCATCGTCGTTGTGGTGGTTGACGCCATATTTAATCAGTGGTACACACAGACTAGTTGCAGCACCTGTGAAGAGCTCGGTGTAGAGCATGTAGACGGCCTTGTTGTCCCAGGGGTTCTCACTCTGAAGGTCGACGGTGTGCAGGATGTATTTGATGAATGTCGTCAGGACCATGGTCAACAAGATGGCGTACTGAGGAGAACAAGGAAAATCAAATGGAAAACATGATTAAATGTATGTGTGTGTCAGAGAGGGAAGCAGCACTCAGCTGTAAAGTATACATGAAGAACAAAAAACAGTTGAGTTGGACATCTGAGACTGAAAAATGAGATTTAAACATCAGTTTAAACTCAAAGACAACAATATAAAATGTGTAATGAAACATTGACTTTTTTCTTACTTTCATTTACTATTCAATAATTATTGCATTCATTTAGCGTAAATGCTAACCTCTTATCTTCTCATATTAGTTGATGAGTATTATTTAAAAATTCATTAGATTCCATTTTATTTTTTAATTTATAAAAATTTTCTTCCTCATTTTCCCTCCAACTTTCTGAGGCTATCTATCGCCCCCCAGTGGCTCCCACTTTTAAAAGCACTGTTAAATCATCCTATTTAAAATATTGGTAATGCAAGATATTGACCTCCAAGACATATAAATATTCATTAATAATTAAAGGATAGTAGAAAACATCATATAAAAGTAGCAGGAGATGATTTTATTTTGTGTTTTTGTAATAAATGGTCTGATCAACACATTTAAACCGTCAGCTCCGTCACCACAGAGAGTGCTGCAGTAAGGTTTAGATTTTTTTGGCAAAATTATTTCAAAACTTGCATTTAAACTGAATTTGAATCTTTTTTAAAAGCTTTTAAATGATTTCCACTCAGTGAGAAAATTTGAACGTGATATTTATTTATTATTTTTAAGACGCTCACTTTGGTGCAGTTTCGATCGCTGCTCCTGAGAAAAATAATCAATTTTAAAAGACGACGTGACAATGACTATAAGAGGAACCTGCATGGGAAAAAAAAAACAAACAGCTTTTTTTATTGTAAAATGAGCCACGATGCATTTAATGAGCCTCGAGTTTTTAAGGTTATGAAAAGGAAGCGGGACAAACCTCAAAGCCAAAAACGAGCTGGACCGAAGCTCCTCTGGTGATGATGCTGTGGCAGGCATGGTTAACAAACAGGAAGTCCATGATAGCCAGAAGTCCTAGAAGAGCTGCAGAAAAAAAAAAAGAAGACTCTGTTACAGAAGTGTGCATGCAGAGCGTAAACAACAGGAAAAAATAAATAAATGTGATTCTTTGAACCCCAGGCAGCTGCTGAGGTGAGAACTTTAAGTTGTTTTCTGTGGACAGTTTTAGGTGGTAAAACTGAACAGTAACTGGAACCATTTTGTGACTACAATCAAGACGCAGCTGGCTTTGACAAATATTTGCATACAGTTTCAACAAATGCTTCACGCCAAGTGAAATCAGTACAAAAAAAAAACAAAAAAACAAACAAACTGAAAGGTACTTGCATAAAACTCTCAAGTGAAAAAGCCAGGATATGTTCGGACTCCTCTCCATCTGATGAGAAACAGACAGAAAAACAAAACGATCTCATCTTTTTTCTTCAGTTTTGGCTGTTTGTTTGGTACAGATTTGTCCATTTTTCCTTTTCCCACTGACGACAAATTCACTCAGAGCGAAACTCACAAAGTCCACCCGGTCCTCGGCCAGCCAGTGGAAACACTTGAGGAAGAGCAGGAGGGTGAAGAGGGCGACGAAGCGAGGGGAGAAATCGTCCCTGAACACGGTGAATGCCAGGCAGGTCTCCGTCACCGCGTACCAGGAGCGCTCGATGAGGTGCTGGCACGGGGGGAGAGAGAGCAGAGCGTGCTTCGTTTACATTTACAGGACAACATTTCACAGTGTTATCTTTTTCTATTTCTGTCGGGGGGGGGGGGGATTTGTTTCGTTTTACAAAAATTATATTACGAAAACAAGGTCGTAAAATTAAGAGAATAAAGCCGAAATAATGAAAATAGTCATCACCTTATTACATCTTTATTCGCATGGTTGTTGTTAAAACTTTGTTGTAATTTTTAACCTTTCCATACATAAATAAATTTTTAAAAATACGGTTAAAAAAACCCTCTGCTCATTAAAGACCCAAAAAAGTTAAAGAAAAAAAACATTATTCAAACTTGCAGTTGATATCAGTTTTTCGGAATTAAATAATCTTTAAATTTCTGTCATTGGCAAAAATAAATCAATAAAAAATGTGAAAGTAAAAGCATAAACGTATTACACTTTCACTTTTTATACATACACAATTATCAATCGTTCTTGTATATTTTTCTAAAACATTTTTCCAAAGGCTTCTTTTTAGGAGTCTGTAGACAAACTCAAAAAAAAATGAACAAATCATCAACTCTTGTACTTGCTGAGCAAATTATTTTGATACTTTTTGTCTTATTTAAAGAGTGAAAAACACTGTTCCGACTCCCAATAGTCATTTCACACCCGAGTCTCTCTGATTGAAGTACAAATGTTTTTAATATTTATTCTGACCTTTATTTTTTTAAAACAAACCTCTCTCCTTACTCATAGTTTTTCTTTCATTTCAAACCACTTGTGCAATCTTGGAAGGAGTTTATAATAGGCTTTGTGCATGTCCATGCTGTTCTGAGCTCTACAAAAATCATAACATTTTGAAGTATTCAATGCAAGAAATATTTCCATCAATTGGATAAAAATAATCTGATGCAGTCATAGTTTTGTGCTGGTTTTATACAAGTTTCACCCTGATATCCGCACAATAACACATGTGTGGAAGCGTGGAGCAAAGACAGATCTTGGATGATCCCCCACCTCCATTTCAGCAGCCCTCAGCTGGCCAAAGAACACCTTTCTCATGACCTTCCCCAGCAGGAACACCAGCACAAACGCCTGAATGTACAAAACCTAATTGGGAGGGAAACAGAAACAAAAACTTTAAAAGCGGCTCAGGTGAACACAAACAAAAAGCTAAAATCAGACCGACCAGACGGCTGACCTACCGCCATGCTGGGGCTGCTTTTGGTGAGGTACACGACGGTCGGGTAAAACTGATGTTTGAGCAGGTAGGCGTGGGCCACCACAGCGCCGGTCAGCGCCATGCTGGTGGCGGTCACCAGGACTGCTCGCACCATTGTGGACTGCAGATGCTGCTGAGGCCCAAACAGACAGAACAACATGAGAAGTTAAACCTCCAAGAATGTCAAGATTTTCACTTCTTGTCTTCCCTCCATTTTAAAATATAATGCATCGCATTTCCACTTCCATCAAGGCCATGTGTACACAAATCACAAGAAGGCGTTTTCTGACCAAAACCAATTTTGTGCGTCGTCCTCAAATTCTGACTTGACGTATCATCTCATATTTCTTATGAATCAGACTAAGAAATCCCACAGATCAACCAAAATCATGTAATTTAATGCATAAAAAACGCTCAAATGGGTCAACATTTTAAAATTATTTCACAACACGTTTATTTTCTTTTTTATTGTTAATCATCAAGGAAGAAGATTTGATTGAGGGGGAGAAAAGTGAGATCAAAACAATTCAAAAGTGTCTAAATCCATGCTTTCACAAGTCAAACAATGGAAACCACCTGAAGGAAACACAAAGTGACGCATTTCAAAAGAGAAAGCGTCTGTGGCTACTTTGTTTTATGAAACCCTAACGTATGAAGAGACAACTGTTTACTGCTCCATGGCGGCTAAACTAATACTGAAATCTTGCATATGTTAAATTCGTGTTGATAACATATACTGAAGTTGCTTGGAAGCAGCACGAACCTTCAGCATAAACAAAACCAAACAGAGTCCATGGATTATTTCAAAAAGTATTTTCGCACTTTATAACTGTTTTATGGCGCATAGAAACCTTCCCCATAGAGCTCATGTATTAAGCTCAACTCCTCAGTCTTGTGACAGCTTCCTAAGACATATGAAAACATTATTCTTGAACCGAAACCTTCAAATAGTCTTCTGTTGGGGTTATAACTATAACTAATTCAGTGGGTATGTTGTCAAACAGAAATATGGGTGAGTAAGCCTATGCTAGCCTATGTTAGCTTCCAACCGCTCCAGCTGTCAGGGACTCACCGACTCGGTACCCGCAGGACGGCTCGCTCCTCGGCTGATTCAACGGCGCCTCCTTGTCTGATAAAACCTCTACGCTGTCTCCAGCTACTCCATTTGAAACATGTTAGCGTACCCTCCCAATTATTAGCTAATAATTCCCCCCTCGCCCGTATTTGCCTGTCTACGTGTTTATCTTTGGCTTGCTCCTTACAAGCCACCTCACATCCGGTTGTTATGGTAATTTAACGCAACAGCATTTTGTTTTAACTCCACAGAAATGCGCGGTGTTTTGTGTTCAGCGGCCACGCTAAAAATGAGGCAGGGAGAGAACATTTATTTAAACATTGTGATATCAGTTACCATTGGCCTTCTTATTTGTATTTCATCCAGGTGTGAGAGATACTGTGTTACGCATTTTCTGAGTTTTACGGTAAATATAAACGTGGACCAATAGGAAGTTATCGGGCTCTCGCAGCCAAAAGAGGCGCATTCAAGCTCGCTGTGCCTCACAATCCAATCAGTGATATTAAAGAACTGGAGATCCGAAACGCAGAATAAGTAACTACAAACCGTATCCACGGTCGATATCAGATATCGAAGAAGAAATAAATAAAAACGTTTTTTTTTCTCTCCATTATTGGTGATGAAAATATTCTGCGGTGTAAGTTGTTTTCTAAACGCACTATAGTGTGATGTCTTTATTTTAATTACAAAAATTCAAATATACATTAAAGATGTATGAACCTTCCAGGCTCCTCTGCTTCAAGGATGCTTTGCGTCATCAGCACCAGAACCAGAACTCATCTAACCTGGAACAAACACTCACTAAATAGTTTAATAGAATTTACCTGTTTTAGTTTTTAAAAAATATATATGTATATATAATGACCATAATGGGTAGAAGTTCAGGTGAAATATAACCAATCCAGGATTTCCCCTTTAATGGAAATATTACAATATTCTCCTACTGACAATTATATTAGTCATTTGTTGCCAATGTTGAACTCAAGAGTGTACTGTTACAGGCAAAATCAAGCCAGGCTTCATTTACTAAAGATTGAGAGTACGGTAACATTTTAAATCAGTTTTTTATTGATTTGTTTAGGGTCCCTCATTACTGGTAATTTTCAAAACGTAACACTTGTGTCAATTTCCATCTTCTTTCCTGAGTTTTAAACAAACATCCTCAAATTTTCCCTTGCTGCCTCTAGTAACTTTATTAACCACAAAAATGTTTGGTCAACCAAACGGCATATGCTCTAAAATACACTGCAAATACACTGCTTTATTGACCAATAAGGATGCTATATTTGCAGGTTAGATCACAGCAAACAAAAGCCTTCAGCGTTATGTACTCAGTGTTTCGACGTCACATGGGTTGCCTTTTAATTTTTATGGCTCTGTCATGACAACGCCTGATGTAGGGTTTAGAAACAAAGTATGGAGGTGGAATAAAAAAAAAAATTAAAAAAAATCCACATAGTGTTAATAATACACACATTAGGAAATTAAACCTGACTCCAGTACAGAGTCAGAACCATTAACAAATACTTTTTTATTTTTATTTCATGGAGCTAATAAAGTGAATTAACATAATGCCTTGGTACCCAAGTCAAAATTTAATATGCCTCCACAAAAAAAAAAAAAAAAAAAATCTATGAGTGCACAATATTGTTAATACAGTGAGTCTGGAAAATACAGCCACTCTTACTTAAACTTGAGAGTACAAACAAGCCTCAATAACAGTGGTGCTCATGTTGTGGTTTCACAATACCTACCTCTATGGCAACAGATGTAACATTAAAAATGTTAGCTTATGGCATGTTTAACTTGTTCAGTGATCTCCCATATCAAAAGAAACAAACAAAAAAAAAAAAAAAAAAAAAAACTATCACATTGGCATACAGAACTTTGTTAAAAGCAGTAGCTCAGTGTTCATTTCTAGCAGTAGACTATAAAAAAAAGCATTTGTTATATCAGACTAATGGTAAACATAACTGTGTCCATCTCTTAACTGAAATAACTGACAAAGAAAATGTAAGAAAAGTGTTTCATAGATTTTAAAATTCTCCGGCAGACGAAGCAGAGCAGTGAAACCGTTCTCTGCCTAATTATAAACTACAAATAAAGTAAAAAAAAAAAAAAAACACAAAAAAACCCCAATGTAACCCATGCCTAATTATCGTTGGACAGATTCAGCCCTAAGTTGTTCCATGCTGTGGCATTGTCGAGCAGTAGTGTCTGTGTTAGGGTAACTTCAAACTGCTCCTTCTCCCGGTATTTTCTTGCAATATTGGGGTTTTTTTAATATGTAAATGAAATGGATTTTGGCTGAGACCATTGATGAATTTCCTGCGAGAGCTTTATATCCCTTCCCAAGTGTAAACAGTTCAGCCATTAAGACAGCTTTAAATTACAAATCAAGGTAAAAAGGGAGATAAAAAAAAAGGACAAAAAAATTATAAAAGAAACCAGAAAGGTAAAAAGGTCTTCTAAATCTCCCAGAAGTCTGTTATTAGGACACAGAGGAGATGGGGTTGAGAGGCGAACCCATCTGTGTCAGCACTTTATCCAGCCACTGCAGAGGCCCGTGCAGGTGCACCTCAATCCAGCAGGGGGTGCTGGTGACATCCTGTCGGTGGTACTCTGCTCCCCAGCCCTGAGAAATTTAAAAACAACCAACAGAAAGGTAAATCGTGACTTCTATTGCTGCTGTGAACTGTTTCAAAGTAAAAGCGTGCGACTCGTCACCTTGACGAAGCTCATCCTGATGGTGCACATCTTGGTGAGCTCGTAGACGGCCTCGAAGCCGTGGTTCACCGACTGGGCCAGCAACTGAGCGAACTCCTGGTTGTTGAAAATCTTCAGGCTGCACCCGCTCGGGATCTTGCACACGGTGGTGGGATGGAAGCCGTGGTGGAAGTTACAGTTGCGACTCTGGACGAAAATGCTGGTGTCGCTGAGGCACTCGGCGTACACCTCCCCTCCCACGTAGTACAGGTGCACTCCTAAGCAAACGGATGAATAAAGTGTCAGCGACTGAAAAACGGGGGGGAACACGTGCTGCGTCCTTCCAGTTGCCGCCGTACCCTTGCCAATGTGCCTGCGCGTGTTCTCGATGGTGGAATTGCGGTTGACGTTGGACAGCAGTCCGAGGCAGAAGCGGTTCTTGTTGTTTGACGGGTCGGTGAAGCCGTCCACCAGCACGCTGGTTGACGAGGCGTGGTAGGCCTCACCGACACGGTTGTTGAGCTCGTAGTAGACGATGGAGCACCAGTGGCTCGGTTCCTCGTACTCCACCGGCTGCACGTCTGGAAGCGGAGCGGATTGAGATACGTTTCAGCTTTTGCTGAGATGCAACGCTAAAAGTCTTTGAAGATTCTCACAAAAATCAAAGCAATTTTGACTTGGAGAAAGTCACATTAGAGATCAATCTGTCAGACTTAATACAAATCCTTAGGTTTGTGTTGTTTTTATTTCCTGGAACACTACCGTTTCTCAAATGTAGTAATAACTAAATTAGAAAAAGGAAGATTCAAGCTCATTCTCTTAAACGCATAGTAGGAAGTAATACAAGCCATTTAGCCCAATTGGTAAAAACCACCAAATGCTTATTTCACTAAATTCAGTGTTTCTTTAAAGCATGAAGCTACACTAGACCAATGAAAACACTTATCAATTGAAGGAATGTTGAGAGGATGGAAAATAAGTGCAGGAGAAAAAAAAACAGCAGAACAAACATGGACAAAGATTGATTGTGAGCAGAGCCAATTGAAGAGCTGGGCTGAGATTCACACGTTGTGGTCTCGACTTAGGGATGTTGTCAAGCATTAAGTGTATTGGCAACATCACCAATCTCTAGTAGCATTGGGGGATGTTTGTTCACACATTAGGTCATTAAATGTAATGGAAGTGACGGATGTAAACAATTAAATGAGATATATTGATAATTCAGCTGTGGTGCAAACGCTCATCATCTACCAGCCATCTGAGGAGATGTCGGAGTCTTATTCAGGCGTTGGAGCGTCAAGTCCCCTGATTCTGGGGAAACTGTAGTCTGGGGTTCTATGGATTCAACACGTTCACGTTATGAACTCTGTGTGCTGTAAAAGCTCCTGTGGATCCAGCTGCACATTGTCCAAAAAATTGTCTTCCTCTTGCTACTTCCTGTCATCCTCTTCAGCGGGTTTGCCAGTAGTAACATCCGGCTGTCAATTGCGAGACTCTTTTGATGTGAAAACTGTTTTAATGTTGAAGAACCACATCATTCTAACAATCATTTTCCGAAAAACATGATTTTTTTCCTAAATTGTTTTCATAAAGCAAATTTATTTTGGGAATTACAATTTGGGCAATTTTATTATTAGTGGAAATGGAGTTAAAGACATTTTAGGGACAAAAGCTACCACTGTTTCATTTCTTCGAGCTAAGATAGTCCTGAGCCACAAGAAAACAACAACAACAACAAAAACAACTGGACTGTGACTCAATGATCCTATTTTTAGCTGAAGATGAAGGTTTTCACTTTTATTTGTAATTGATGGTTTAATGATTCTGCTATCACTACCCTTGAATAACCAGCAAACAGAATGACTACAAGAAAGTCATTCTGGTAATATGACTGTTATGTTATCCACTATAACTAAAGGATAATAAATCAACCTGGATGCAATGACTGTATTTTCAAAGGATTTACTAACACAACATAACTTCTCTATAATATTTCAGGTTTACTGAGATGTGTCTGCATCTTTTTATTTTATTTTTTAACTCTCCAGATATCGTGTGCAGTTCCCACCTCTAGGTATGCTGCTGCTCGTTTCCATGGACTGGCTGTCCTGGACCAGCTGCTCCTCCGGGGGCATGTAGGCCGGAGGCGGGGTGTCAGCTGAGACATGAAGAGCAGTTAGCAATGGATGAGACCAGTTGTTACTGCTACTGGCAAATGGTCTCACACACACACAAAAATCTCCCCAGACAATCATCACAGGATCTGTACCCCGGAAACGGTGTCAGATTACACGTACGCCTCACTTCTGAACCACATGCTAACCCATTCCCGACAAAGAGCCAACGAGGCGTTTGAGTCCTTACAGGAGAAGAGAAGAAATGGAGAGAAATCTGAACTACAATATGCGTCTGCAACACCAAACAGGTTTATATCCTGAAATTAAACTGTTCCTACTCGACTCCCTGCAGCAGATCTGGACTTTTCACTGTAACATCTACCGATTAAA